GGGGGGGGGGGGAATTTGTGGAAAGGAAAAAAGGGTGATGAGGGGAGGTTCTTCTGTACAAGAAAGAGCAGACAGATAGCGGCGCGTGGGCTTTGATCCCCCCAACCCCTTTGAAAATACCATTTTCATACACCCACCATTTGTTATTTCTACATAAAGTGAAAAAGGGAAAAGAAATATGGAAATGAAATTGTTAAAATTTTTTATTTTATTAAATTTCATATTATGAAAGCACCGCTGGAATAGCTCAGTTGGTTAGAGCGTGTGGCTGTTAACCACAAGGTCGGAGGTTCAACCCCTCCTTCTAGCGCTTTTTTTTATTCCTTTTTGGGCCTACTTTTCTAAAAAGGGCTCTTCTCAGCTTTATGGTGAGGCCCATTTACTCTCACTTTCATGTTTCACAAATTGGATGCCATCGTTTGTTTTCAAGTCGGCCCGTTAAGAAAAAGTGACGTCATGCAGCCTCTTTATTTTTTATTTAGCTTTTTAAAAAAAAAAATCAAAATCTTAGAATTGCAATTACTTGTAAAGAGTAATTCTGTCGACAATAAGTATTGAGGAAAAAAAAAAGAATCACATATGAAATATCTACAACAAATATTTTATTTCATTTAAAAAAAATAAGCATTCATATCCTAAGAGTGCCAGATTCCAACTCCACCGAAACGTCGCCATTCTGAAAGTTGGGGGCAACGGTATCCGGGTTAGCCCCTCGCTCCTCCGCCGCCCGGAAGTACGCATAAGGTCCCCATCCTGATCACAACATATACATACACTCACTCAGCACATATATATGATTTTATTACAACAGAGATATGTCTGAACTGAAAAAAAAAAGTTGAAAGAAAAAGGGAGACATGTGTAATTTGTACGTACCATCGTCGTCATAAGGGTTAGGGAAGAACTGCCGGTAGCAAAGAGCGGAGACGAAAAGGCCAATGAGAGCGCCGGCGAAGACGTCTTGCCAGTGGTGCCAGTAGTCGTCCACACGTGAGATTCCGACGAGGCATGCTGCGAGCAGCGGAAGTATCACGAGGCACAGCTTAGCCACGTGTCCTTCTCTGTTGAACGCCTTTATCTTCCCCGACAGGTACAGCGACAGAAACCCTAGCCCCGCGAATGACCCTTCCATTTTCATCATTTCATTATCCATTCCCATGTATACACACACATAAGGATGTAGAAGAGATGTATAACATATACATATACATGAAGAGAGAAAAGACTTACAAGAGGTGTGACCGCTGGGGAAACTTTTGTGGCCTTCTTTGATGTCGCTGGACTTGCCATGACATATCACCCCTCCCAGTGCATCATATACCTTTTATATATATATATATAATTCACCATTCCAATCGCTGTTATTTATACATATATATATAGAGTTAATTGTCATGTCAAGATTCTGTCATATATATATATATATATATATATATATATATATATATATATTTATGTATACCTCTTTTCCGTCAGGGAAGCAGCGCCAGTAGAAGTTCGGGCGAGGCCTCCCCGTCGCATTCTTGATGGAATCCGTTATCACTCCGGTAATCAGCACGGCGAATAACAGCCCTGCTCGCAGCGAATTCACCAAACAAATCCATACATATATATATATATATATGTGAATAATATATATAATAATTATTTGACATTGTTGATATCAGAAATCTCGATAATATTACCAAGAATGCTGTGGTGAAGATCATACACGCATCTCCTCTTGAGGTAAAAGCACACGAAGACAATAATCGGAAGCACCACGGCGTACAACTGCCCTCATTATAACAGTAACAAAACAAAAAAAACTGTCACGAGGAAGAAAAAAAACTTCTTTTTTCTTGTTAAATAGTTTTCAGTTTGACATACCGGTACGGACCAGACAGGAACAGTGTTGTCCTTGAAAGGGTACTTGAGGTCTGTCATCATGTCTTTTCCGACAAAGCGATAGAAGGGAGAGATGATGTTGAGAACGACATCTATGACTATCAAAAGGAGTAGTATGAGCCAGTCGTGGCGATGCTTCGAAGCCACTCTCCCTCCATGGCTCTTTATGGTGTGTACCCCTAAATCTATCTCCCTCATTCTCCCTTGCTCCTATATTTGACCAACAACAACAAAAAAAAAACTCAGGGTTCTAATCTAGAACTAAAGTGTGTGTGTATATATATGTATCTATGTATGTATAGGTGGTGAATGTACGTACTTGCGGTGATAACAATGGAATGCACGACATTTTTAATCACTGGTATTTGAATGGGACAAAAACGGCTGACAACCGATATTATTATTGTTCATCATCACTACTTTATGGTCTACCAATGACAACGGGATCCAGCAAATCTTGCCTGTCCTGCTAGTTGTATGACCAATTACGACGAAGTAAAAATAAAATATGACAACTACTGCATTAACCCCAATAGTTTTCTTCATTAAAAAATTAATTAATTGCGATTAATATGATATTACGTACTAATGACAACGATCTAAAAGCTGCGGACGGATCAAAAAGGTACCTCGGAATTTCCCCAGAATTTCAGAGAAGATAGAAACTTTGGGAGAAAGCTCCAGCCCATTTGATTTTGTACGGAATCAACGATGAAGATCTCGGCCTCTGTTTCTGAAAGAGGAGAGGGAACAGAAGGGGCAAATTGAAGAGTGAAAGAGTATAAATTCAAAAAAAAAAAACTTTAGGGTTTGATAGCGGAGAAAGTTGTTCAGGGGAAGAGAGACAATAGAAAGAGGAAGAAATATAACTACACTTTTTTTTTTCTGTTCACATTCCCGGAAGTTTCCCTTATCTTTTTCTCGGAAAGTTTTTTACGGGTCAACGAGGGAGGGGCAATTATGATTTGAAATAACGGGTAGAAGGAAGTTTGCTGACACGTGTCACTCCGAGATGATAGGAGACAAATTCGTTCTTGTCGTCGCCACGCCGTTTGGATCCTTTCGATCTTTCTAATATTTTCTTCTTCATATTTTTTTAATAATTTTTAAACTTAAATATAACATTTTCCTTTTCTATTTACTATTTTCATTTCACCGTTGTTCCTAAATACTAAATATTTAGATTTTAAATCTCAAACCCTGAATCAAATATAAACCCTAGACAGTTCAAACCATTTCTAAATTTGTAACTCTCTATAATTTAAATTTTAATATTTAAAAATTAAAATTAGTTTATAGTTTAAAATTAAGAATTCGGAATCTATATATTAATAATTAAGGTTTGGAATTTAGAGATTAGGATTGAGGTACATAATATTTGATGAGTAATGTTTTATAACTTTTTCCAAAATATTTTCCTAATTGTTTTATCAAATTATTTCCTAATTTTCCATCCGTTGTTCTCTGTTCGTATTATTTTATTGTTACTAATTTATCTCCAACCCTAAACACTAAAAATACATACTAAGCTCTAAATTTTAAACCTCCAAATTATAGACTCTAACAAATTTCTAAAATCTAAAAAATTAGGATCAATAGTTCAATATTTTATTATTGGTTAAGAGTTAAAATTTAAATTTTAGTGTTCGTATTTCGGGGTAAGTTAAAAATAATAACATGTGAAATTACTAAGTTAGAGACAAAAATAAAAAATATATCAAATTGTCTAATAAAATAATCAGAAATACATTTATGAAAAAAAAAAGTTTTAGATGGATGTGACATTGTTTACAAAATATCGCTTTATTCTTGTTTTAAGTTTGAATTTTCTTTATTTTTTATTTTTTATTTTGTAAAGAAAAGGTCAAAGTCAGTGTATGGGTGTCTCATGCGAATTCAGAGCCGCGTTGGCCCCTACTAGCTCCCAAACTATTTGACTCCTCTTAGTTTATTTTTGATCCCTTACATGGGGAAGGTGTATCCAAATAGGAATTCAGACCCTTTTTGTTCACATGTCACGTTACAATTTGGTCAAAAGAAAAAAAAATATTTTTATTCACATTCCAATAACTTATATTGATTTTTTTTATAATAAAAACGCACCAATCCACATATTTTCAGCGATTATATGGGGATAGATCTTCAAATTCGTTTTTGGGCCGAGTAATTAAAAACTATATTATCGTCGTCGTGGGGGGGGATTGACATGAAAATGGAAACAAATCACTAATATTAAATATCCGCAAATACTTAATTTTTATTTTCAGCCTAAAAAGAGTATATAGGGCCCAGCATCTTGGTGGGCTTCCAAACTAAACCCGCGAGTCAAATGGGCCTCGATGAATGGGCTTAAAAGCCCATAACCAAACAGCCCTTGTCCGAATAATAGTTTAGCCCAATATGTTTCAATTGCAAAATTTTACACGCTTTTTTTTTGTTTGTTTCTTTTGGTAGTATATGACAATGAAGCGGCGGAGAATCTCCTTCCAAAGCATATGGATACAGAAAATTATATACTCAGAACTTTTTTTTAGGCTTTTCATTACAAGAATCACGAGAGAGAGAGAGAGAGAGAGAGCGAGAGAGAGAGAGAGAGAGAGAGAGAGAGAGAGAGAGAGGACTTGAAATGACACTACACAAATCGTTAGCTCTCGCTTCCAAGAAAAAAAAAATCCAAAACAAATGACTAATAAGTTGGATTTCTCATATTTCTTCAATCAGATCACTCACTGCCCGATACTGATCTTGTCAAGTGTATCAGAGACATGTCTCATGGAAGGCCTTTTCTCGGGACTGCTATTCAGACAAGCCATGGCAATCTTGAGAACAGCAAGGATCTCATCTTCCTTATCAACCAGACAAGGATCAAGAACATCCGACAATGGTTTCTTCTCATCAACGCAGAGCTGAAACCAACGAACTATGTCCATTTCCGAAGTGCCCACCTGAACTAATGGAGATCTTCCAGTTATCACTTCCAGTAAAATCACTCCGTACGAGTAGACATCCCATTTCTGGGACGGTTTCACTGTCTTCAGGGCCTCTGGCGCCATATAGTACGACCCTGAAGATGCTGTGAAATCCGAGGATATGCTCTTGCCATGGCGTCTGCTTGATTGCAGCCTCGGAGAAGAAGATCCTCCAGCGATGTTGGCCAGACGCATTACTCCAAAATCCGATATTTTCGGTTCCATGTCGTGTCCGAGAAGAATGTTGCTAGGCTTGACATCGCCATGGACGTATTTCTTGGGACTGAACTCATGCAGATAAGCCAGCCCCTTGGCTATCCCTTTCGCTATTCTCAACCGCATGGACCACGTCAAGGGCGTGAATGAATCTGAACCCGTCCCTGGCTTTCCTGAATTCAGATGAAGATGAGAAGAATCATTGATTCATCATTCTGATGCGTACTAAAACTAGATCCTGACTTCAAATTATCAAATTAAGCTTGGTTGACCTCAGTGAAACTAAACCGACAGGTTAAAGAACTGGAATGTTCATCCAATCGTCTACAATGATACTACTCTCTATGATTTTAAAACAAGATTTCCGGCATTACAAAGCTTTTCAGTTACACGGGAATCGGTCAAAGTTTCAATCTTTTTTTGGGGGGGAAGAGGACAGGAGAGACAGACTCACCGTGGAGAGCGGTGGCGAGGTTTCCGTTGGGAAAAAAGTCGTAGATGAGCAACTTCTCATCGACAGACCAATAGTAAGCCCAGAGACTGGCAACGTTGGGATGTCTGAGTTTGCCAATGGCTTCCACTTCGGTCTGAAACTCCTTGAATTGCTGAGACCCTCCTTCGCCCAATCGCCGCACGGCCAATGTGAGCCCGTCTTGGAGAACCACTTTGTACACAATCCCAATTCCGCTCTTGCCCAGAACGAAAGCCGACGCCTTTAGTAATTCGTCGAGGTTGAAAGCCACCTGACCATCCAGAACCACGAGATCGCAATGTTCCACGTTTTCTGACAGCGTCTCCGATTCATCTCTCCGGAAACACAGACACTCTTTGGTTCTGTTGGGTTCTTTGTCGAATCCGAATTGGTTCTCTTCGTTACGAGCGCAGAAATTGGAGTAGCAGTAAGCGGAAAGCAAGCCCACGAGGCAGATACCGATTACATCGCAGACAACTATGGCAATGACAGTGCTTTTGCTCAACCCACCTAATTTCCCTCTGGTTTCAGGGTTACTGTCAAAATTCTCTGGAGGATTGTTGCTCGGGATAAACGGGTACGAGGAAGAACCAGGATTGTCTCCAGGACAGAGGTTCTTCAGCGGCGGACCACAGAGCCCTGGATTGCCGATAAAGGCCGTGGGTCCTCTGTTCATGAGAGCACCGGTCTGTGGAATCGGACCCGAGAGATTATTGTACGTCAGATCAATGTAAACTTTTTCCGGAAGATTGCCGAGGCCTGGTGGGATTGAGCCACTGAACTGGTTATGAGAGAAATCAATGGTCCCTTGCAAATTTGAGAGGTTTCCGATATCACTAGGGATTGAGCCGTTGAATTTGTTGAAGGAGAGGTCAAGTTTCTCCAGATAGACAAATGCTGAGCCAAACCCATTTGGCAGAAGACCGGAGAAGTTGTTTCGGCTAACGTCGACAGTTCTAAGCCTCTCGCATTGCAGAATCGACGCCGGAAACGACCCAGTGAAGAGGTTTTTCGACAAATCTAAGGTCTGAAGAAGCTTAAGCCCACCGAACTCGTTCGGCAACCATCCAGAAAACGAATTGTCGTAAAGCACCAGACTTTGGAGGCCCTGAAGCTCGAGCAGCTGAATCGGCAAGTACCCATAAAACCTGTTGCTCCTGAGATTCAGATGGCGGAGACTGGAGAGAAACCCTAGAGACGAGGCGAGAGGGCCGTAGAGCTTCTTCCTCGGAATGCTTAGAGACACGACCTTGAGTTCCTTACACGTGACGCCGTTCCAAGAACAGGGGTCATTGTCGGACGAGTTCCAATTGCTCAGTGAACCAGACGGGTCTTCGCGAACGCTCTGTTTGAACGACAATAACGCGAAGCCCTCGTCATTCAAGCCGCTCACCCAGGTGGTGTTAAAGTTGCAGAGAAGAGCAACCGAGATGATGAGAGAGACCAACATTACACAAGACGTAGCTTTGAACAAAGTGAAGAACGAGAGAGCAAGAGGGAGCGAGAGAGCTCAAGGAGTGACAGTGATGGAGTAAAAGGACAAGGAGAAAACAAATGAGGAAAAGAAAGGGGTTGAGAGCTGTGCTCTCAGCTAAAGGACTTTGGGAGAAGAGAAAAAGAAAGCGCAGAGGAAAAAGCAAAAAAAAAAAAAGGTGGACAAAAACAAAAGCGAACGAACGCCGAGAAAATCCATACGCTAATTTCTCGCGAGTTTTGCAATGTATCACAGTTTTGTTTATTTTCCACAATATATATTAGCACATTGTTATCCCTTGGACCACACTTACGAGTAGAGGTGGGTATAAATACCCTAATATGGGATATTCATCAGATACTCGTTTTATCGGATACCCGATTTTAGAATATTCGTAATTTTTAAATCCAAATCCGAATTCGGATTTTTAAATACCCATAAATCTGAATCCAAATCCAAATCATGATAATCGAATTTTTAAAATTGAATATCTACTTATACCCGACTAGTCTAGTATGATTATAAATAATTATATTTTATATTTATATAATATTTTTATAAAATATAATTGTTTTAGGTTAAATAATTTTATATTTTTTTAATATTATCTCAGAAAAACTAAATTTATTATTATTATTTATAATATATTTTTATCGTAATTTATCTATTTTTATAAATATATTTTTATTTTTTTGAAATTTATATATATAAATACTATTATTTTTTCTTAAATAAATTTGGATCCGAATATCCGCGAGTACACAACCATTGTTTCAGATATTTGTATCCCGAATATTCGTAAATCCCATATCCTCGAACCAAATCTTATAATTAAATAACTGAGCCTTCCGGATACAAATCTAAATACATCGATTTTTTCGGTTATCCGACCTGTTCCTTATTTTTTTTCCAATTATGACCTATTAATTAAAATATGTATTTGTGGACATATGTATAGTATCACCTAAATCTTATTGTTCAAAGTATAATTGCTACATGATATGCAACACAGATTATATTAATTTGTGAGTTTTTATTCTTTATTATTTTATCCACAATATCTCGATAATAAATATGTATGTATCATATTATCCAAATCCATAATACACTTAGGGGTAATAAAAAAAAGGATTATATATACTGCAAAACTTGTGTGTTGGAGAAAACATTTTGTCGGGACTCTGTTTATTTTTTTAAAAGTTTTTTTTTCCATTGGTGTAGACTTTATTTATTTGTCAATGTAGGTCATGTCCAGTATTTGTCGTTTTCTATGTTCTCTCGTAGCTTTATTTTTTGTAATTCGAGTCGGATAACAAAAATATCATTTTGTAATATTATCATCACAAGGCATACGCATCGTTAGAATCTCGAAGCCTCAAAAATAAATATACATTGTCCCTATCATTTTTCTATTCACAAAAATCACGGAAGAACAAACAAGTTGAAGCCCAATGGGCCTCCTTGATTGGTAACTCAAACTCTCAAATATGGGCCTAATGGGCTTTAGATATTCATAGTTCTGATTGAGATATAAAAATAAATGTTTGGGCCTTTAACGGCCCTTCCAATTGATACATTCAAATCAATTTTTGAAAAAAAGGCTATATATATATATTTTTTTTTGGTATAAAAAAAAGGCTATATATTAATAAACGGGAAAACGAATGGAACCAAAACATTTTTGACGAATATGCATTATATTACAAGTAAAACGCCAGTTCTCAGACGATTTTATCATGTCAGGCCAAATCTGGTATATAATGGTATTAAATAGGAAAAAATATATAAATGGTCATAATAATTTGGTCCGTTTTTGGTGTGTGCGGATCTCATTTTGTAAGAATATCATCATCTACTTAATTAACCTTATCTCACACGTATGATTTAGTAAATAATAACACCACGTTATCAGGTCCGATTAGGAAAATCAAATATATATATCATATAATATGGATCCGCATAATTAAGAGGGAAGATATGTTTCTCCATTAAAAAATAAAATAGATGTGTTACAGAGTCGTATCTATCCGCTTCCAGCCACCCAACTTGTCCATATATCCCCTCAACTAATGCGCACGCCGGTAACTTGCAAGATTCAGTGCAACAAAAAATGGAATATATATATATATATGGTAATTTTACGGCTAAAATTGTGTTTATGGGGTGGATGAGATATTATGTTCAGAAATAGGAATAATAATAATAATAACAATTAACAAAAACGGGGAAATCGGGTGGTTTATAAATAAAAAACAGAATAGAAGAGATGCGAGGGGATATCCGAAGCGAGAACACGTCAGCATCTAATCAGACGAGAGACCTTTGACCCAAAAAACCTAACAGATAGATTCAGACTTCATCAACACGTACACACTGTCCTCCATATATATATATATATATATATATATATGTATTAGTTGTATGCGGCGACTGCCCAACGTTTCGCCTTTAAATAGGCTCCATATTTAACCCTAGTTTCTCTATCCAAATACAAGCAAACCAGTATTTCTGTCTTCAATACCAAATCTCCCCCAAGTTTATCCACTCAGATCCATCTCTCTGCATTGCATTTCAGTTATATTCTGAGAAATTAAATCCCATAAATTTCCAGGATTTTCTTATAATCATTTTGCTTATATATATATATATATATATATATATAATATACATATTGAGTCGAAGAACAAAAATACAGAAAAGAAAGAGAGAATATGGTGGGGGCTGCTTCGGATGATCTGTCGAGGATACTTCCTAGGGTTCTCATCGTCTCCCGACGAACAGTTCGTAAGAACAAGTTCGTCGATTTTGTGGGTTCGTCCTCAATTTTCTTCCTCATCTCTCGTAATTGGCCGATATGGGTTGAATACTAATGCTTTGGTGTATATATAAAACTGTAGGAGAGTACCATCTCGATTTGATCGTGGGATACGGAGCAGTGCCAGTGATAGTGCCACGCGTGAAAGGAGTGCACACGCTCCTAGAGAGCTTCGACCCCATCCATGGCGTCCTCCTATGCGAAGGAGAAGACATCGACCCTTCCCACTACGAAGCGGAGATGGCCGGTCTCTCCCCAGAGGATATTGATGAGATCAGAAAGGTTCACGCCAGTGACACCGCCATCGACGTTGAGAAAGACAACATCGAACTCAGACTGGCCAAGCTCTGTCTCCAAAGAAACATACCCTTCTTAGGCATTTGTCGTGGATCCCAGATTCTTAACGTAGCATGCGGTGGATCTCTCTACCAGGACGTGGAGAAGGAACTCTCTCGCAATGGTACGCAACATATACATGCATATACATATATATATATATATATATATATATGGGTAGCGTACAAATGATGATTTGTGTGTAGGGGAAGAAGGGGTGAGGCATATGGACTATGAGAACTATGACGGGCACAGGCACGCGGTGAGAATAGTGGAGAAGACGCCATTGGAGGGGTGGTTCAGAGAGTCGCTGGAGGAGGAGAAGATGGAGATAATGGTGAATTCGTATCATCACCAGGGGGTGAAGAGATTGGCGGAAAGGTTCGTGGCGATGGCGCATGCAGGAGATGGACTGATAGAAGGGTTCTACGATCCAAATTGGTATGAACCTGAAGAGGGCAAGTTCATGATGGGTCTCCAGTTCCATCCCGAGCGGATGAGGCTCTCTTCTTCTGATGATTCCTTTGACTATCCCGGATGCCCTTCTGCTTATCAGGTTCCGTCTCTATCACTATCCGGTCCCTATGCTTCCTTTTATTATGTAATTTATATTATATATATATATATATAATGTAATGTATGAAATATGAATCATTCCCACAAATTAATTGTTACTTTTTTTTTGGGTTGTAATATCAAACCATTACATTTTAGAAAGAAAAAAAAAGAGAAAAGAAAAAAATATACTCGCTGTTTGGAATGACTATTGGGCCCGTGAGGGGGCTTCATTTTCAAACTTTTCAACGGTCTAAAAAATTATAATAATTTTCATTGAAAAAATATATATTTCACGCTGTTTGTTCAAATTTCAAAATATTTTCTTTTGTGGATGGGTGATGAAGGAATTCGTGAAAGCGGTGATCGCGTACGAGAAGAAACTAAACGCAACAGGGAAAGTGCCAAGAAGCCCCAAGTTGAACAACGAGATGGAGATGAAGAGGAAGAATCTGGTGAGAAGCTTCTCCATCGCCAAACTCATCTACTTCTCTGGAGGGGAACCCACAGCCCCAACCCATAAATCCCAGATAGAAGCAGGAGCTGAGTTCCTCGAGGTCAGTGAACAGAAGAATAGAACACAGCATCCCGTTCAATTTTTTTTTATTTGACAAAAAATAAAGTATGGGAAATGGGAATGAAGGCGAGCACGGTGCTGAGCGAGCAGGAGGAGAAGAGGCTGAAGCAGATGGGGGCAACGGTGAGGAACTCGACGGGGTACATGAAGAAGATGAGGATGAAGAAGGATCAAGAGAGGGTGGCTCATTCCATCTTGGACAAGATGCCTGTCGACCGCTTGTCCGATCTTCTTTCCTTTTACCATATGATGTCCCGTCTCTGCTCCCATGTCCTCGAGACTAAGCTCTCGTGACCCTTTATCAACAATTTTCATTTTTTCGATACCCTGAAATTTCATTATGGAGACAATCCTTCGTTTATGACCAAAATACGCTTTGAGTGTCATTCTACATTGATACAAGCATGAACAGTAACAGCCAGCTCTATGCATGTTTACTCTTTCCAACCTTTCAATATAAGCTTTCCATGGGCATGGAATAGTTTGGATCGTCATCATAGGAGAGCAAGTATGAAAATCACCTGCGGCAGAAGAACATGAAATCAGGGTGGTTGACTTTATGCAACCGCACCCATTCATCTGCGACGTGGAAGAGGGAATTCACGAGATGTTGCTCCGATCCTCCTCCTCCGCTCGCTGTCCATACGGAACCTCTCAACTTGTAAGAAGCAAGTCCAAAGACCGGAATCCGAATCTTTTCAACTCCCTCTCTCATCCCATTCTCACTTTCCTCCTCTGCTCTTGTACCTACAAGAATCGTATGTAATTCCTAAAGCCAACATATTATCTGGCAAGCATTAAACTATATATACAGTCGCAACAAGCATCAAACAATTCTGATTTCCTCCATTATGGATGATTAATGATTCCCGGATTGCCATTACTGATGAGAAAGTTGAAACCCGATGTTTTACCAATTCAGACAGATTTTAATCATCATGAGAGAGAGGAAGACAATGATTATGTGTCCAGGACGATCAAGAGTCCAAAGATTTTGTCCTAAACAATAGTTTCAAAAAAAAAAGACAGGAAATGTTGAATCCAATGTACCCAAACTGTCTGAGGCACAAACAACATCTCTTTTGATAAGAGATATATATAAATGTCTCCTGGTGGAATGTGTTTTATCATGTGGTTGTTGCAGATTCTCAGTGATTAAACATGGCTAAACCGAAAACATAAGACTCCTAAGCCAGTTGTAACCAAGTGCAAAATTAATGTAATGAAGTGATTGCCATCATTTGTAGTGTGAAATTCCAAGTGCATTTAAAATACATAGGGATATTTTTTTTGTTACCTCCAACTGGTGTGTGGAGGGAATGATACGTCAAGAAACATGCGTCCAGGTCCTTAAGCGTAGGTCCTGTGGGTATTCTGTAAATTGGGTACCTACACAGTATATTAATGGAATCTGAGATCCATGAAAAGCAATAAAATAAAGCAAATGCAGTCAAAACACTAAGAACAATACCATGCCACAGAAAACCAACTTGAAGGTAGTAAGTCACAACTCCTAAGAGAATTTAACTCGGGAAATTGAGAGGCGAGATCAGACACCTGCAACACAAATAAATAAATAAATCAGACGACAATTATGAAGAGAAGTCAAGGACCAATGGGTAAGTTCAAGAATGAAGGCACAATCAGTTTGACAACTAGAATGAAGGCCATAAATCGGCTCTTATAGCTTATCTTGACAACTAGAGCAATTTATTGACCGATGAAATGGCCAATCTCGATGAGTTGTTACAAGTGGTCGGGCAAAATAAATATTTGGAACAATCTTTGGCCAAACTAAACCACATTCGAGTATAAATTATCACAAGGGCATCGGTTTTTTAATATCTTTTACTAACTTACAAAAAAATTTGCATATTTCTATAATATAAATAACACAAAAATGCTGAAAAAATAACTTGTGCAGAGTTTCAATATATCATTATTGGTCCCACAATTTTGATTTGATACTTCAGTTTCAAGATAACTTAAAGTTGTCTTATAATTGTTTTCAGAATCTTTGTAGTTTTAGATAAATTATGTAAACCTTTCATAACTCTTTATGATATGTATTAAAATTTTCAGAGCTTTTTAATAATGTTTAATTTCGGATGAGAACAAAAACAAAACATACATACCTTGTCAGCAAAGGGTTCGCGAATGTAAGGAAGGGCTCTTTCAAGATACTCAAATATCTTACGACCTTGACTTATTGATTCACCGTCATCACTGGATGAGTCTTCCTGAAGCTGGTCTCTCAAAGAGATCCGGTCCATTCTAGCAGATATCTGCTCCCTGGGGCAACAAAGTCCCCGTTCGTATTCACTGTCACTGCTACCATCACTACTTGAATCCCGGAAATCGCTATCGATTTCCTCATCTGGCATCCTGCAGTCGAAAAGTGACAAAAGAACGCCCATTAAGCAAATTTCTCATAGTTCTGGGAGGTTTACAGCTAAAATGGTAAAAAGAGATCAGCTTAAAAATATGCCATATATGTATGCAATGCAAATGCAATTCATGACTAAGCCCTTTTATTCAAACCTCATATACCAAGGAGGTAAGAGTAAGAGATGTAAACACAAAAAGTAAATAAAAACCTTTGCTTGCAAAATGAGAGACATCAACCTATGTAGGCCCTGTCGGCCTGTCCCTGCCAGAATTTGAGAATCAAGGGCATTGATCTTCAAAACATGTTTTCACTTCTCAGAATAATTCGTACCCGAATGCCAAACAAAAATTGATACTCCTCTCTGAATGCAGGAAACATCACAACCTATTGGGAATCAAGGACTTGAACTATATTCATGAGTAAATACACAAAACTCAGAATTTTTACCTTGATTTAAGAGATGCATTCAAAACCTGAGGATCGGCATATATTTGAATGCCGGACAACGAGGGCACGTAATATTGGACAACTCGATCCTTGTTATTCAAAATTAGAGGCACTCCTGTGCCGTAGACACTCCACTCCGCAAATGATTCCCACACATCTCCAAGAACAAAGTAAGGCTCGAGCTTAACATCACTATTCCTTCTTTCCCTTAGCGAAGTCTGCAGAAAAAGTCTAGCACCATTTAAACGATGACCAAGATAAGTAGAAAAAGGAAGAGCCTACTCAATTCCTTGCAGAAAGTGACAATGCTATTACGCAATAAACAAAAGAAAAGCCTTTGGTACTGAAAGTCTAGAGGTAAAGGTAATGCTGTCTCTGTTTTCCCTAATCTCCAGTAAGAATCCATATTTCACGGTAAATGACAATAACACTCTCGATAGTTTGCGAACACATCAAAATAATCAACGAGAAAAGGAATCGGGCAATCAAATCAGAAGAATTCAATTGACATGTTCACACAAACCTTTGATAAATACTGCGCCGGCACCGATGGCGTGACCGACTCCAAAAACCGTTTCAGATTACTCGACGGCCAGGTCGTCGGGTCAGAAGCGAGGTTAGGTACGAGTTTCAGCGACATGGGATCGTCCACGAGTTCGATGTTCACGGCAGCCGTCGAATTTTCCTTGAGATTAATTGATCGGCCATTGGAGACGTCCCTCTGAGTATCTCGTAGCTGATCGACCCTTGGAGAGTTGTGATGGGACCTACGAGCTCCCGCCGAACTGTAAAAGGGGTCATCACCGCGTCGGCCTCTCGTTAACTGAAATCCAGCCCCTAACATCTCTTCTTTACCCGATCGAATAACTCTGCAGAAAAGGATGAACATAAGAAAAACGACAAAATGGCGATACAACAAAAGTTTCCGATTTCGTCGAGCGATTAAACGGAAACACTCCTCCCAGTACTCAAAGTTGATTGACTAAACTACATATATCTAAGCAGTTGTATGCGCTTACATGCAGAAGATAAAATTCACGGACGGTATCGCGAAGAAGAACGGTGGAATCGGATGTTCCGAGAACGGGAAAATCGACCGAACCGAACAAAAACCCTGACCGAGATTGAAGCTCCAATCGAACAGATAGAGAAATTAGTGGAGGAATCGATCTGATCGCAAAGGCAAAGAAGAATTCGAGAAGTTGGGGAATTTCAGGAGATTCGAATGGGAAATGAAGCAAATGAGGCGAAAGAAGATTGATTCGTATTTGGAGGAGAGAGGGAGAGAGAGAGAGGGGCCAAGTAACTTAACTTAATATAAGCGCCCTGTATTTTATGAATTTTCCTGATTCACCCTTCACATCCTAGAATTAATTACGTTTTGCCCCAGAACTCTGTTGGCGTTCACTACGAGGATATTTACCGTGTTTAATTTAACTATTAAAAAAAAAGCTAATTAATACTCTTCAAACTTTATAAAACAAATTGGATTTTTTTTTCACATTAAAAAGGGGCATTATCAAAAATACCCTTAAAATGCTACTTCTACTTCAAGACCTACCCTGATCACATGTGACCAATATGACCGAAATATAGTATGGTCACATTTTGATTTTTATCGATTATAACGTTAAATTTATGGTGATCACACTAATTCATTATGTTTATACCTTGTATATCTTACTAATCATTTGATTAAAACATCATAAATTTAACGTTATGAACAATGAGATCAATATGTGACCACACTATATTTCGGTCACATTGGTCACATGGTCACAAGGGTAGGTGTTGAAGTAGAAGTAGCATTTTAAGGGTATTTTTGATATAATGCCCATTAAAACACTCTAAGTGTCAATCAAAAAATCTTTGCGATGATCTTAAATGCAAAGCCAATTAAGTTATTGGAGAAAGTCAACAAATTTACCTTAGATTACGGTAATCTTCTAAACTACAAGTCTAGTCACTTTCAAGTGCAGACAGATAATATTTAATGAATATCATTAGTAATTTTCTATGAAATAAAAGATATTAAGAAAATTAGAGTTATATCCTTCGTAAAGCAGATAAAACCCCATTATCCGTGGCGGGCCCAAGATTTGGACTGTTTGGCTATGGCTACAGCCAGGCTTAAGCATGTTATCAATTCAAGGTGCATATTGAATGATTGGGAAAATAGATGCTTGCATATGATTTTTTTTAATATAAGGAAATAAAAGATATTAAGAAAATTAGAGTTATATCCTTCGTAAAGCAGATAAAACCCCATTATCCGTGGCGGGCCCAAGATTTGGACTGTTTGGCTATGGCTACAGCCAGGCTTAAGCATGTTATCAATTCAAGGTGCATATTGAATGATTGGGAAAATAGATGCTTGCATATGATTTTTTTTAATATAAGGAAAAAATGGAATTATTTGCCATTTAAAAAAAAAAAAAAAAAAAAAAAAAAAACAAAGGGCCATGGGGAAGCTCTCTGAATTTATGGTGGATGCGGGATGATGTAGACACGGTGAAGGGAAATGACAAATAGACATGTTTAAATATTGTTTTTTTTAAAAATAATTTTAGCAGAACAGAAAAGGTTGTAAATATTATACCCTTTAAAATAAATGGTTTCGTAAATCTAAAATATAATGAATCATTAGAAAACAATACATAAATCAAATTTATATGATGAGTTCATGACTATAAGCTTTTAAAATTCGGCACGAGTTTAGCATATTCTCAATTATGATATCATTTTATCAGGAATTTATTCGGAGACATACATATGCACGTGGATCCCTGCGTTCGAGTAATTTTACTCGGTGACAATGTCATGGGCACATGACCGACAGGTTATAGTGTCCCTTCTGGGCGTTCCATCCATGCCACGAATAATATGTTCATAATAAATTAGGCCACTTTGAAATTGTATAAGCACCTGATTTTGGTCCTCACTTATACGTACGGGTGAACAAGTGGTGATTATTTAATAATAATATGTACAAGGCACCCCTATAAATATTTGTAATTGCACGTCCATTTCCAGATGCTAGTCCTCCGTATACGTGATTGTGTTGGAGCTTTTTTTTGTATAAAAAGGGAAGAAAAATGCACTCCCTACCAACAATAATGTTTTTATATCTATATTTAATAAAGGGTACGAAATCTTTATATATATATATATAAATATAGGTATATATAGTGAAAGAGAGAGATTACAGAAAATGAAGAGTGGGCATTGGCTCTTGCAGAGATAATGCTGAGTCAGACCAAAAGGGACTCGTCGACGTCAAAGCGAGAGGGCTCTGCTCTCATCCCTCTCGTCAACGCCGCCACATCGCGCTTCTCATTTCCCCAACTACCCTCACCTTCTGTCCGCTTTTTTATTTTCATATATATATATATTATAATAGCAATATTCGGACGCCACTAATTTCCAGATCCATATAAATTTACATATTCGATATTTATATAAAGATTCGGTTATTATCAATCAAATAATCTATATTCTGGTGTTTCATCGCCGCCTTGTTAAGTTTTTCTTTTACCTCCAACAACAGAACCACGGATTCAACAAATTTATGTTGTACTAGTACCACTTGATCATTTTGTTTTTTTTTTCCCTCAAAAAATGAAGCACGTATTGTTTTTAACACACCAAATATTTAAAAAGAAACAATAATCTTTTGGAAACTCAGGTCAATATTATTTTTTCTACCATATTTTATAAAAGGGTGGTTAATTTAAAAATATTAAAGTGATATATGAAAAACAACAAAATTAAATAAATAGAGCAATGGAGAATCATTCATCTGCCTCTTGCTAGCTGCTATGGCATGGGATGATCATTGGGGAATGGACAAAACAAAGAATTGCATTCCATACGTAGAATTTTGCAGGGCTACATAATTCAGAAAGCCCAATATAAGATATTGGGCTTTGGCTTCAAGCCCACTAAGAAATGAAGCTCATCTGCTTATGGCTTATACGACGTCGTTCCATCTCCATTCTCCATAGATCTTCGCTGCAAGGTCAGGCGGCCCAACGTTCTTCAATATTCAAACCCAAAAAAACGTCAATCACGGAGAGATCGGGCGGAAATTGTTCTGCTCGATTCGATTTTGATGTCTCTGATACACCTGTTTGTGTTCGCGTTTCTGCTGAGCCACGAAGTTGCGGCGTCGTTTTCGCCGGGATCGCGGTCGATTCTCCGGGAGATCGGCGGCGACGCCGATCAGAAGGATAACGCCGTAGAATTGAATTTTAACAACTTCTATTCGGTTCTCCATGGTACCCCTGCGAGATACGCCATTGTGGAGTTCTTCGCCAACTGGTTTGGCTCTGATTCTTTCTGTCATGTTTTTTTTTTACTCCGGAACATTGGCTTCCATTGTTTCTATGAAATCTTATAAATTTGTTAGATTTGGTCGGGAGGTTTATGTTCCTCTTACTTTTTTGTTTGCTTGTTTATGTTTGATCCCGGTGGCCATCTTTATCATCACCTGCTCGTGCAATAATCTTTGGAAATTGTACTGATTTTCGGGCAATGGTTAACATATCTGGGAATATTGAACTTCTATCGTTGCGATCTCTATTTTCTTATGCTTTTATTGAATCTTTGTGTATCTGACTGTCATTATCCTTGGGGAGATAGATTTTCTTAGCGCAACCTTCAATGGAAGGGATTGTAGATGAATACATGAATGTGAAACGTTTATATTTCAGACAAAGTAATACACGCAGTTACTAACATGGCTGTCGTTTAACTTATTTGTTTCAGGTGTCCTGCATGTAGAAACTATAAGGTAACATACCATTGCATTTTGTTCACTGTTGGTTCCTTGTTCTCGTTTCATTTTCGTGAATCTTTACTGTTGCAGCCTCACTATGAAAAAGTGGCAAGACTATTCAATGGGGCAGGGGCAATACATCCTGGAATCATTTTGATGACAAGAGTTGATTGTGCCCTAAAGGTACTTACCACCTTGTCCACGATACTCATACATTTTCGCTCTGAAATTTCTTTATCTGCTTTTGTTATTTTCCTGGACTTTGTCAATGATATTGGGACATGGAAATTCTTGTATGGTCGAGAGATGTTCTTTAAAGTCTCTGGCTTTCTCCCTTGATATAAAAATCGTATTGGATATTTTTCTTTCATATATATTCTGACACTAATGTGTTCTTTATGACTTCCTTGGCAGCTCAGATAAATACCAAGCTCTATGAAAATTTCTCTGAGAGTCATTACCCAATGTTGTTTTGGGGCCCTCCTACGAAATTCGGCTCTGGAAGTTGGGAACCTAAACAAGAGAAAAGTGAGATACGTGTGATTGATGACGGGCGCACGGCTGAGCGTCTGCTGAACTGGATTAATAAACAGATAGGCAGGTATGGTATGTGATATACATTGCACAATTAACAGAAGTGCAGACCAAGTCTGTGTTTCTTGATTAGTGTTCTTGGGCCAGTAGGCCGCTAAAAACCCTTTTTCTGTTAATTCATTGTGATGTGGCAGTCTTTCAATTTTTGTGCAGTTCGTATGGTTTGGATGACCAGAAATTTGAAAACGAGCATCATCCATCAAATATATCTGTCAGTGACCAGGTCTCTCTAGAGTCTAGAATGATTCGATTACCTCTTTGGTACAATGTAGATCTTCTTTTAATACAACAGACTAAAGATATAACTGTTTTTATTTTTTCGGCATGAAAGATTTCTCAAGCTGTAAATGACATCGAGGAGGCAACAGCTGAAGCTTTTCATATAATTTTAGCGCATAAGGTTGATGATTCTTTTGATCTTTATGCTTTTTTGTTCGGCTTCCCTGTTTTGCTTTTGTTGCTAAGTGGTATTCATTCATGGCTACAACACTTGACATCCACAGACAATCGAGTCATCTGAAACCAGTGCTTCGTTTATTAAATTTCTCCAGCTTCTTGTGGCACATCATCCTTCGAGAAGGTAAAGATGCATGTTCCTATTGGTCATGTACGTTATGCGGTCTGCTCTTTTTTCATGCCTAGTTGTTGGTAAATTTCGTTAGGTGCCGCAAGGGAACTGCAGAAATACTTGTGAACTTTGATGATGTATACCCATCTGGGGTTTGCTCTTAAGATAATAACCACGATGCTGGCGCAAAAGATGCCCTGGGAAACTTCCATATATGCGGGGAGGATGTTCCCCGTGGTTATTACGTCAGTTAATTCCTTTACTTCGTGTCTTAATATGCTCCTGATCATGCTAGAATGGGAAGGCATGGAAATCTGATTGTCCCATTTTCTGTACATGTTCCTGTTGGCAGATGTTTTGCCGTGGCAGCAAGAACGATACTCGTGGATTCAGGTATTGTTTAAATCTTCTTGTAGTAGAATCAGTCCTTTGTCACGCCCCATCTTGCAAGAGAAGTATCCAAGTTTTGAATGGTTAACTGCAGCTGCGGATTATGGGTTCTGATGCATTCACTTTCTGTGAGGATTGAAGATGGAGAGAGTCAGTTTGCATTCACAGCCATATGCGATTTCATCCACAACTTTTTCATGTGTCAAGACTGCCACCGGCATTTTCACCACTTGTGCACAAGGTATAGCCTATGTGCGAGTACTCGCGGTCCAATCGTTGCAGTGTCTCTACTCATCTAACCACGTGTACCCTTCCTGACAGCATCAAGACTCCATCCAAAAAGGCCCGCGATTTTGTCTTGTGGCTCTGGAGCATGCAAAACAAGGTCAATGAGAGACTCATGAAGGAAGAAGCATCTCTCGAGACAGCTGACCCCAAGTTTCCAAAGTTCGTATGGCCGCCAAAGCAGCCTTGCCCGCCGTGTTCTCTCTACCGGCCAGAAAAACATCGAATGGGATCATGATGAAGTTTACAAGTTCTTGAAGAACCACTACGGGCATTCTCCCTTGTCGCTTGACAAGGAAAAGGGTCTCATCCGAAACGAGGAGGCAACGACAAATGCAGAAGACATGGCGACGCCTACCAATGCGGTTGTAGTTCCCATCGGAGCTGCATTGGCGATCGCCCTTGCCAGCTGTGCATTTGGAGCCCTTGCTTGTTACTGGAGATCGCGGCAAAAGAGCCGGAAACATTACAGAATTCCGCATTATCGAAAGAGATACAATAATAACTATACGGCTATGAGCTCTTTCAGTAACGGTGGAAACGAAAGGGAAAAGGAAAAAAAACTCGCGCGTTGGCTTTTAACTTGTAGGGATCTTTTTCAGGCCAAGGAGAAGCTGGAACTAGGGCTTTGTTTTTGTATCTTACAGACAACAATGCAGAGACGTTAACAAAGGATGTTTTTGTATCTTTTCCTTCCACATTCATGATGTAGTCGATTTCAGATTTTTTTTTTTTTGGTGGGTCGTTAACGAAGGATGATTTGGATTTAGGGTGAATCCACTCAGAATTGTTGGTTTGCCAAAGGAATTGACCTTTTTAATATAATGGTAATATAAATATGTGGGCACAAATCCAAAACTTTCTTATGACAAAACCGCCTCCTCTAGAACCCTACTTCTCTCCTAAGAAAAACACCCAGAAATCAGTTCCCCTAAGCATAAGATCATCGTCTGTCAGAAAGTTTCTACCCCTTCTTCACCAGATCCATCATGAAATCTCATCCTTGTTCCTCACTGTAACACCGAGCTTACCTGCAACTATCACAGTGGAAGCCATATCCAGAAACATCCCATGCTCCACAACCCCAGGAAGCCTCAAGATCGCATCGCTCGCCGCTCTCAGATCTCCCATCTCCTTCTCCATGTACAATTCCACCACGTAATTCCCATTGTCCGTCACGAACGGCTTCCCCATCTCCCGACGGAGCTTCGCGACACAACCGCACCCTTCGAACAGTTGTCGGAGCTTCTCCTCCGTGAATTTCCAGCAGAACGGTACGATCTCCACCGGCAAAGCCAGTTTGCTTCCCCCTATGTGCTTCACTAGCTTCGTCTCGTCCACTATCACCACGAACTTTCTCGAAGCCCCCTCGATCATCTTCTCTCTCAGGAGTGACCCTCCTCGGCCCTTCACCAGGTTGAGATCCGGGTCGACCTCATCGGCGCCATCGATGGAGAGATCGACGATGGGGTGGGCGTCGATGTCCGAAAGAGGTATCCCGAGGGAGAGGGCCTGCTCCTCGGTTTTCTTCGATGTGGGAATTCCGACAATGTTCTCGAGCTTGCCTTGTCTGAGAAGCTCGCCGATTCGGTCGACGGCGTGTTTGGCGGTGGAGCCGGTTCCTAGGCCAATGACCATTCCCGACTCCACGAACTCGACGGCTTTGTAAGCTGCGATTCGCTTGAGCTCGTCCTGGGTTAATATCGCAGGAGGCGGCGAGTTTACCTCCATGGCTGGTTTCTCCGAGCTGATGAAGAGAGGATCGTACGCAAGCGCCATTCAGCCCCAAACAAAAAATTTCCAGGAGAATCAAACAGGAAGAGATTCGGGCAACTCCTAGAAGAAATTCAAAGGGAAAACCGGAAATTGAAAAAAGCCCGGAAAGAGTTAGATTAAAAGATATCCAAAATCAAAGAAACCCCGGTAAGAGGTTTCAGACAACCCAGAAAGAACTAGATTAAAACAAATGGAAATTTTGCAGAAGCCTCGGGAAAATTTGGAAAGAGAGACAGAGACCGAGAAATCAGGGGATGGGGGACGAGGGGATGGTTGAAGGAAGGGAATTGTGTAAATAGAGAAAGAGCTAAGAAGATGAATAGCAATTGTGTGGAGGCGGAGAATGGAGAATGGAGAGTGGAGAGATAGGGTTTTAGGGAGACGGCGTCGAATAAAGACACTCCCTTTGATCGGTCCTCATCGGGAATCGACACTCCGAATCTGTCGGATTCGATCCTCCCTTTTTTTTTATTCGGCTTCTTCTCTTATCTACGGTGATTTAAAAACCCAATTAAAAGAAAACTCATCCATTTGGATTAAAGTTGCGTCTTCCTCCAATTATATTTTTTATTTTTCACGCAAGGAATCGACATTATGAAAGTTTTACGAAATCTGAAAAGAAAAAAAAAATCATCGTACATGTATGTGTGTATTGAAAGTGTTGGGTCAAAAGAAAAGCAAGTTGCGTTAGCGTGAGCGTGTTGTGTTCCATTTACATGCCCGGGGGGAGGTGGAAAATTGATATTTTGCCACTTTACACTTTTCATCTCCTAATTGTTGATTCTTTATTCCGAGAATTAACATTTAAATAAAATAAAACAAAAATCATTCGACTATAAGCTCAACCTCGATTCGGTTCACATTAGTCGGTTCGACAAGAATTTGACAAAATATATGTATAAACGGAAATTTTTGTTTTGTTTTTTAAAAATTGAATATCGTGTTTTTTTTTTAAAAATTTTTGCTCATCACCCAAAAAAAAATAAATGAAAAGGATATTGCCAAATTATAATATCAACTATCAAGTCACGAGGTGGAGGTTTTTTTGGGCAATGATATATCATAGGATTCATTAGAGATGGGCCTATTGGGCTTACGCATAATTCAGACAGTTGGGCCTTAGCAGTCTCCTAATTAATTGGTCCCCGAAATTACAGTTTTATTATTTTTCATGTAAAACCGAAGTTAATAACACGGCGAGAAATGTATTTTAGGTGTCATTAGTTTTCGGAGTTTTTAGATTTTAAAACTTAGAAGAAAAAAAATGACAATCAAATTTCTTTTAATTTGATTTTCCTAAAACTCAAAAATCAAATTTATAAAAAAAAATTAACTAAAAACCAAAAGCCACATTTTTTTAGATTTACACAAAATCCAAAATCCAAAATCCAAAATCCAAAAACCAAAAATTAAAAACTAAAATAAAAAAACCTTAGTACCTGTTAATATTCTCTAACAATCCTCTTACTGTTCCCTTTAACATATACGACTAATGATTTTCTAAGGCATATTAAATATAACGTCATCATAGAAGAAAAAAAAATTGAGAATTCAATATAAAACAAAAAAATATATAATATCAGACTAAATACAAAGAAACAATCAAAGAATATGTGTATACATATGGCTATAATGTATCTAATTACAGAAGAAGAAAAACGGGTATATATTCACCGATCAGCTGAGGTGTCCGGCGGAGGCGAGGATCCAATGAGCGAAATCGAGAAGGCGGAAAGCGACGACGGCTGAAGAGATCGGAACGCTGATGAGAAGGAGAAAGAGCGTTCCAAAGGCGACGCTGGGGCGAGAGTTCATGAGGAACGTCTGGAGGAGGCCGACGGAATCGCAGACGAAGGAGTCGTAGCTGCTGTAGAAACGCTTCTCCCAATCCATCCAATCAGAGGGAGGCTCGTAGTTGCGCTCCATCATCTTCATCTCGTGGATCCGTTTCCTGAGAACGATCATGTTCTCGTCCACCACTCTTCCTCCTCCTCCGTAGTAATCCCTCCCGTTCTGCGGCGGCGGCGCGGCGGCGGCTGATATGCACAGCTTGCGAGGTCGAACGGCGATCTGGTCGACTCTCCGGGAATGCAATGGGTTGAATCTGAGGAAAGAAGAGGATGACGAAATGAGTGCGGATTCCATCGACTTTGTATACGGGACAGGAAAAATCTTAGGGTTTTGCGTCTGATGATTGTTGGATTGGAGATGCGTTGGATGAGGAGAACAAGTGGAGGGATATATATATAGGATGGAGGGTTTCGATTGTGAGTATATGATTATTTCATCGATATCCTCCTTCCTTTCTCCTTAAGTAATAAAATATTTTTTTTTAATTTAAATTAAAAAAAAAAAAGGGGGAGGGGGGAGTGTGGGGGCAAATTGATAATGACAATTGATAGAAGCAACATGGACATGATGTGGGATATGATTAGATTAGCGCGTTTGCCTTCTCATGGTGGGGTCCACTTTGTCAACCGTCGTTCTTCCTACTCCAATTTCTGTTACAGAATGACGTGGCTTTTTTCATTTATTTCACAATAACCAAATCCAAATCCATATTTACTTTTGTTGGAATGATTACAAATGTTTTGTGAGTTTTAATCGTAAAAAACGATGTTTGATTGTGACGTACTCATCCCGAAAGCGTGTTCGGCCTCTTTTCCTCCAGTGGCCCCCCTCCCTCCCTCGATTATTTAATATATATACATATAATATTGCTTGATTCATTATGATTTCACTTTTGTCATTTATTTAAGCATCTACACGGAAATCACCCTACCAAGCCGGTGAATATTTCCCCTTTTATTAATTGATTATATTATTTAATGACGCCTCCAATCGTTCTCAGTCCCTTTGTCTCCGTCAGGGTTTAGAGTTTCTATTTTTTTTTTTTTTTGTTGTTGGTTGGATTCACTTCTCAAGTTTAGATTTTCAGGTAGAAGACGTGAACTTGCAGGGACAAGGAATTAAAAAGTTACAGAAATGTAAATGCGAAATTACAATGGGGAATTCTCAAAAAAAAAAAATTACAATGGGAACATATATGCATGAAAATGAAACGTAAAACTTATTCCACACGAGTTATGATAAAGAGTACCGCAATTTTCTTACCAATAAAATAAAAAAAAAAAAAGGCGTAAATTACAAGGGAGAAGGGAGACTGTGATCTGTATGGCATTGGCTTGTACGTATCCCGTTGCCTTTGACTTTCTGCCGTTGGGCTGGGCGGCTCTTTGTTTTAAAAAAAAAAATTATATCCGATTGCCTTAGACTTTTCAGGTTGGGCTACATACAATGTTCTCAACATTAATATGCTTTATTTCTTATTTTGTTTTTTTATTATTATATACTATTTCCTGAAATGAAATACTTCACATCTACATATTATACATATATGTAGCTGACTTCTTTCGGTATATAGATTCTCCGGGACATTGTTTATCACCATTTAAATCCATCACTGAAGACAATTAAAGTATTTTTTTTTTTTTTTTGTTTACAAATGAGGATATCATACCTCAAATGAGTGAATGGCACCAGACAAGAGTATGGAGAAACCTTCTCATAAGACCGCAACAACCCCTTCTTTTGTGCAATCAGTAAATGGTGTCATTAGCCCCTGTCCCTGTTATCCATAAACACCAACCTCAGCTCGTTAAATCGTTAAATGTCTGCTTTTTTATCATATGAAAGAAATAATCACAACAACAATTCAGAGCACTCAACTTACTATTTTATTTTTTTTGGAGCGTCGCCGTGAATCTAACGCGCCCCCGAATGATTTTATAGTATTTATTTTACAAACCTTCCAGTACAAAGGGACGGATTTGGTCGAGTTCCGGAGATTCATCGTCAAGCAGCCGCCGGGGACCTTCGGCCTCCACTTGATCGGCAGAAGGCTCAACACCTTCTGCACCTTCCAGTAGCAGTTCTGCATTGCCGCTTTCGCCATGGCCAAGTCCAAGTGCCTCGAGCTTTTGATACATTGGCTTATTCTTCTCCAGGAGAAGATATGCTGCGAAGTACCAGAACAACATAATCCTGGTTTGAGCTGCTATTGTCTCTCTTATACGGCTTCCTCCAAAGGAAAGCCTTCCCAGCGCCTGCCCTCCCAAAAAATTTACCCAAAAAAAAAAAACTCAGAATCAATGAAAATGTAAGAAGGTTTGATTGGTTTTGACATATACAGCTTGTCACCTGTTCTCCTGTCCGGATGTCAAATGAGTTCTGATGATCAAACTGAAGGCCGCTGAACTCATTTATACACAATCCCTGGAAAGCCCTGTATTAAAAAAAAAAGGGACAGATTTGATCATATCCCCTTTCAAAGAAGGGGTTGGAGAGATTATTATAAAGAAGAACGGTGTGGAAAGGGTTTCACCATCTGATGAGTGAAACACATGGAATCCAGCGGAAGATGATCGGAGTATTGTCTGCATTGACGTAGTACCCTCCAAACACGATGAAAACAGTCATAACGGATGGTCCCACGGCCATTGCAGCCTCTGTGGTTGGGACCATACCCCCAACAGTCAGACCCATTGCAGAGGCCGCAAAAGACTCCACCGTCACTATCCCGCAAAACTTTCCAAATCTGCCACGGAACATATCTTTTGTTAGCCCTATTCGGACCACATGTGAGTTTCGATTTCCATTGGATCGTTGGTTTAGAAATACAGATGCGTGTATTTTTGTATAACTGATGTTTCAGTCTGTAGGTGGTTGATCAAATAAACAGACAGCTCAACAAGTATGGAGCCTACACAGTGTTTGTATTAAGAATCCAAGAGCAAATGTTTTCCCAGCATACTGACGCTAAGGCTCGCAGTTTTGTTAATTACTATGTGTCATCAATCTATGCGTAAACAGTGCCTCTGCTAACACCAACTAATGTATTATGTAGTCAAGCCATCCCACCAGAAAAGCTAGCAAATAGTGAAAGATGAAAAGCAACGGAATTACCTGGACAGAGTAGGATTTAGTCGCGCCATGGGGTATAAGACAGCACCAAACATCAAGGGAAATGCAGCCCCAATAGGAATTTCAGCTATTAATTTAGAGAGCAAGTAAGGACCTAAAGAATAAGACCCTTTTGCACGCTCTCTGTCCACAATCGCACGTTCCTTTGGAAACACTCCGACTGTCTTTGTGAGAGCTGCCATTGCTGTGTTTATCGCAGCCACCTGAAGCAGAAAAACACTCAGGCACATTTAAGGCTACTACCGGTACTTTAAACAAATCCCAATAAAGTACAATATGGTTTAGACCTGAAGCAAACCCATCCGGTCTTGGATTGACGTCTGAGATCTCCCAATTCTCCAGAAAACTGATCCAAATATCAGTGCAGAAGCAATTGACATTCTGGCACGCACTTTGTTGGTGGGCCCATCTCGAGAAGCCTATGGAATCACTTGAAGATGTCAGGAACACAAACTGTTCAAGATAATACCAAGTACGATAGTAAAAACGACGTAAAGATGCTTCTCCAGTCTTTGGAGTCACTTAAGTTTTCAGTAACTCAAACTGTTCAAAGTAATGTCAGGCAAAAAAAATCAAAGATCCTTGTGCATTAATTTATCTTCCTCTTCATTCTTCTTCTTTCATTCATCACAACGTCATGTACTTCTTAAAGATAAACTAACTTGATCTTATGCAAGCATTTTTATTCCTTCACACGGTTAGATAAATTTTCAGGGGCTAGAAGAAAATGTTTGAGATCCAGCATATAATGCATCTAATTGGCACAATACCTGCATCCAAGCACGTCTAAGTAGTAAGAAGAACTGCCTCCACCAACCACCTTTTTTCTTAACAATAGGTTTCTTGTGAGATCTCATGTTGTTCCTGGTTTGTTCTCCTTTGCCAAGCGGTGTGGCATAAAGAACCGATGATGAACGCTGTGTGAACGCATCAATAAGGGCATGAATTCTCTTCTGCGAAGAATAGACACTCTCAGAAGAACTATAGTCGATGGATATAAGATCTGCCAGAAATTCAGCAGGGTTCACATGATCTGGGCAAAGGAACCTGTTCAGGGATCAAAAGAATAGTGGTAAAGGAACTATTAAAGCAAAGAAATGGATACAATGGATATAGAAAGGGCAGTCAAAGGACAGGAAAGCAACCCGAAGTTCCCAAAGTACGTCAGAGGTTCTTTGCCTGCAGGACCAGCATAGACAATCGCCCCCTCTGTAAGCAACACAATGTCATCGAATTTAGCATATACAGAACCTCTAGGCTGATGTATGGAGCAGACCACAGTATGTCCATCTTGAGCAAGCTGTCTTAATGTCTCCATCACTTTCTCAGCCTGGAAAGCATCAAGCCCTGAACCCAAAACATGTTTTCTTTTGAGTGAGGATGCAATCCATCGACAATCAAAATTTAATAGAGTAGGCATACCGGTTGTGGGTTCATCAGCAAATATCACAGATGGACTAGCGATCAATTCACACGCCAGCGACAAACGTTTCTTTTCTCCACCACTGATCCCACGAACCTTTGCATCACCAACACATGAATCTGCACAGCTAGCCTTTTGGAGAAAACAGGCCAATGGTGAAGGAAACAGACAGAACAGAATCATGCCCCTAATGTCCGAATTCGAAGCTCCAAACTACATTTCTGAAATGGAAAGGCTCTTACCAGACCCAGGTTGAACAAGAGGTTGTCCACATACGCGTCTCTTTCCTCCTCCGAAGAGATCTCCCGAAGCTGAAGCTCTGTCGCGAGAGAAAGCGTTTCCCGCACTGTCAGCTGCGAGAAGAACAAGTCCTCCTGTCTCACAAACGCAAACCTGCGACAGCAAGATGGAGAGCGATTTCACATAAATGTAGAAATTGTATAAGCGGTGGTTCTCACAGGACCTACTTATAATCTTTGTCCGAGCTCGGTTTCCCATCGATCTCCAAAAGGCCCGACAGATGCAAACGGGGCGATGCGTTTAGCTGACCAGCGAGAATATTGAGCAATGTTGTCTTGCCAGACCCAGATGGACCCATTATTGCAAGCAACCTCCCAGGTTTTGCTTCTCCGCACACATTTTTTAGCAGAAATCGCACCTGTGAGCCATTTTAACACCAAATGCACAACAACATCTTCTTAGATTCTCAGAAATTTTAAGCACGATGAAGCTGAAAGCGAATTCCTGAACATGCATAGGCTAACAATTCTGATTCCACTCAACGAGAAACAACCTGGCCATTGGATAAATCCTACACCTACGTTAAATTTTAGCAGAGAATAACATTTCGAAATGCGAATAACAGAGGGGTTTCTCTCATTTTCCGGGCATCCAAACGGGTAATGGAAAGAAAACCCAGAAACTAAAACACGCTCTCACCGATTTGAAAGACTTATCCGAAAGCGAGCACGTGATGTTCTTCCAAAGGATGGTGACAGGACGAACTTTCCGCGGAAATGAAGCTTCGTCTTCATCTCCGGCACCGTCCATCTCACCATCGCCATCATCGGCGTCGCTGTCAGGCAAGAGCGTTAGGCCTGGCCCTGAAAATAAGCGGAACAACAGACCGGCAGCCATGGCCGCCAGAACTCGGGAGACTCCGTTCCCGCCGATTCCCGAGACGACATGGACCAGCGATTTCCCGCCAAAACCCACCATGTAGTTGGCTGTCTTCTTCTCCTTGGAAGCTCTGGAGAGAGGTGAAGGAGCTCAGCGCCAAGCGAAGTAATAGAAAACGGCTTCGGTATTCCATAATATCTTTGGTGGTTAATACTTAATTATATTTTAAATTGGAACTAATCGTATTTCCGACGTCGTTTTATAAGCATCTAGATAGCAGAACGACGCCGTTTACAGAAGGAGAAGCCGTGTTTCTTCGTTTAATCAGCAATGACCAATGTTTAATTGGAGGATAAGATGACACGTGTGGATTCCAGGATCAGGTGAGTTCGCAGGCCCAGTGGGTAACTCATCGGGCTTCACTTGGAAAATTCTTACATTCTGTCATTTGACTGCGATGAATTTCTGTCTTTGAGCTGTACGTACATAAACATTCTGTTACGTTATGCAAAAACAAATTGATTTGAATGTAAAAATATAAAAAAAAAACGGTAATCGAATTGAATTTGATATAAATAATTTTTTTTTGTTAAACTTTTGATATAAATATTGAATAGTTATAGTTTTTTATGATTGAAAAAACGAAAATAAAAATCAATGAAAAATAGATATTTTTAAGAAGGAATATTTTTTATCTTTTAAACCGGATTTAAAACAAAATCCAATTGAAATCAAATCCATATTGAATCTAACAAAAAAAAATGAATATAGATTATCTAAAATCTAAAGACAAACCCAAATATAATTGAACCCAAAACGGAAATGGTCATTCTATATGCAATGCTCTCCACCACAACAATTCAAAAATCAGTAAAAGCAGATTTGGAACAGGACTCACAAAGAGCTCATGCCTCGACGAAGAACAAGCAAGCACACCGGACTTGTAACGAACAGAACCCAGAAACCTAGAAACTCAACCAATCCACTATGAACTCTCGTATGGCTCCCAGACGACACAAGCCCATCCGTCTTCACTTCCAGAGTACCAATAGCTCCAGCGATCCCATGAACGACTACTCTCTCGCCCAAGAAAACTTCTCTCTCCACGAGCAGAACTCCGTTTAGCCTAACGCCGCCGTTGAATCTGGTCACGTTGATCGTGAATCCCTCCATGTAAGTCCGCAGCTCAGCCCCATCTTCGAGATCGGAGAGTTCCCTCCAAGAAATCTTGCACGGCAACACGTGGCTGAGGAAGAGGGATGCCTGTTCTCCGAATCGGAAGGATAAATCGATTACAGATTCGTCTATCGGAGCAAACACAGTGATCGAGGCTCCGTCCGCGACTTCGCCTATCTGCGTTTCCAGAAACGATGCCATCGCAGCGTAGCCTTTGGACCTCAATGCCTTGGCAGCTATCACGAAGGACTGCTTCTCTCGCAGATCGGAAAATCTGCCGCTGAACGGGGCCGTGCACGAGAGATTTCCGTGATCCGGGTCCGAAATTTCGAATTCCGAGTCGAAAAACCCGTCTACCTCGAAAACCACCAGCGATCTATCGTCGTACTCGGGAGATCCACTTGTTATCTTGACGCCATTAAGTGAGAGAACTCCGTCGTAGGGGGACGATGTGACGATTAACGATCGGTTGGGCGTCAGAGTCGGGATCTTCGTGCCGGCTGAGAGCGAGCCACGAGTTTCCGGTGAGAGACGCATCGGCGAGTAATGGAGGTGAATCTGATCGAGAGAAGGCTGGCCAAACCGCTCGAAAACAGCGTCTGAAGGAGCGAAAACTGTTAGGGATGGATATTCCGACGATGGCGTGACTCGTTCGCCGCCATATTGCATCACAAGGGACATTCCGGTGAGGCCGGAATCCCAAAGGGTTTTCACGGCGTCGGGGACGGAGTGGGAAGGAAGAGCGACGGAGAGAATGAAGTAAAGGGGGAGGGAGCAGAGGAAAAGCTTGGCGCCCACCATTAATGGAACTTGGAGCTTGCCTCTCTTCTTTATTTTCTTGTTGCTTTCTTTTCTTTCTTTCTTTCTTTAAGCCTGTCTATAAAGGAAGCAAAATGGAGCTGAACGATGAACTTTGGAGGGAAAAACTCGTCGTATAACGTTCGGCCACGTGGAGGTACATAATCATCGCTCAACCGTTTCCATGATCCGTTACACGGTGCCCCCACCCTGCGCCAAACAGCGTCGAACGTAATGACAGAATTGCCCTTCATGATTTTACCGTGAGAGCCGGGACCTAGTTTAAAAAAATTTGTCTATACCCCCTAATTCCAAAAAAAAAATCAAAAGGGAACAGCCAAAAATCACTCAGAGGAGGTTAAAAAAACAAGGAAGCGCGCGGTTGGATTTCTCATTGAGGGTAAAAAAAAAAAAAAAGCAGGCGAGATCACAAGAGTCTTTTCAACCAGAAATGTCGAAAACGGTGGAGTAGTATACAATCACACACCAAGCAGTTTATCCCACCCGTCTGCTGTCGGAAGAGAGGAGCGTGCAATCACTGAAGTCATCGACAAGACTATAGAAATCCTAAATGGAATACCAAAGGTAAACCAAACATTGTCTGAAAATTTTCGGCGAAACGATAGAACCGAGGGAGATAACTCACATGAAGGCTCGGGCGCAACGATCCTCACCCCATCGGCGGACCACTGGAGGTCATCTATCCCACCAGCAAGGGTCCTGATCTCGTTCTTCAGCACCAATCCGTTGTGCGTTCCCCAGATCCGAGCGACGGTGACGGGATAACAATACTCGCGGTAGATATCTACTGCCTCAGATCACCAGAGACGCAAGTAAATGTATCACCAAATTTCGCCATCTTCGAATCCCCGATGAAGAGTCGGGGAGAGAGTGCGTGTATGTGTGTCGTCGGTTTTTTGGATTTATTTCATCGGCAATTGGTGGAATTTAAGCGGTAAAGGCCGCGAATTCAGAGAGGGCCAGAGTTGGCGCGTGGTATGAACTTTCGGGTCGATTTACGGGTTTTTAATACAGATGACAGTTTTGTCCCCATATGACCATGATTCTGGGCCCATTACGTTAACTTATCGGGTCTTGAATATTTGGCCCAGATTCCATGCCGATGCAACTCACAATTTCATGAGATTTTTTTTTGAAATATCTATCGTTGAGTAGTAGAAAATTGAGACTTTCAACTAAAGATGTGTGCCGGTCAATAATTAGCTGATTATATTACCCTAAACTTTTTCTTTGCCTAAATAAATTTCCCTTTGTTTTGATTAATCGCTTTAGCTTTTTTCAAAATTGTGATACTTTTCAGGAAGATTTTTCTATCTGTTAGATTTTTTATTTTTCTTACTTATATATATATATAAATATAGGATATTAAAAATAACACGTACATTTTCCACGCAAATAATAATCATTCGGATTACTGCGGATTTTGGGAATTATGATAAGATTCCAATACCCCCTTTCACATTTGAATGTCATGTAATTTGGAGGGTAGTGTTAGTAATGAGGAGGTGGTTTCCCCGATGAGCGCCGCATTCAAAGCAAATGAACCGCCACGTCACCTCATTCCCCTCATTTATATTTATTTATTATTTTTTTTTAATTGCATCACTTCATTATGCGTTTTTGTCGTGTGTTAAGTAAGTATCCCAACCTATATCTTTTTCAGGCTTATATTAGTTTTGTCCTCGAATTTCTGTCGTACTATATGAGTTACTTAAATATACGTTCAAGTACAGCGTGCAAATAATTAACTGAATATATATATATGTGTGTGTGTGTGTGTGTGTACGTGCGTGAACAATTTGACAAAATATAAATCTATTAACTTATTTCTGACCAGAGCTGCTTACGATTTTGTTATTCCAAACAATTTTATCCAACATTTTATGAAGGAAATATAATGTATATTCAAACTTTTACTTCAAATGTTTTCAAATTATTTAAGCAGCCTCGTGTCTATTTCGGGGTTTCCATCTTCTCTGGGTGGCTACTATAAACATTCGAATATTTCAAAACAATACAATTTTCTTGACCGTTGAACAAGAAACAAAAATGTATATACATATGTAGACAAGGTATGAATATGATGATAATAAAATTCGTTGCAGAAGACAATATTTGAAACATTTTTTATATGAACTGAAAAGTATATAACGTGCTTAATCACACGCCTACGTGTCTATATATGTACATACACACGTGCATGTGGCTTACGCTATATATATTCCTATGAGATTACCTATACGGTACATATGGATCTTTGATATATTTACGTTGTCTATGTTTTCCGCGGAAGAGTTGTGTATAAACCGTAACATACATATAATTAATTTTATGATATAATATAATAAAAGGTTACGTCAACCGTGAAGTCATTGATGTCGAGCTTCCAAGTTGACAAACGGACCATCATTTTGGACTTTTTATCATAGCTGTTGACACTATTTAAACCCCATGCAAATGTGAAGACCATGTATGACGTAAAGTTACACAAAACCGATCGATTTTGATTTTTTTTACTACGCTTGATAAAAATAAATAAATATATGTATGCATGCGTGTTATAATGTTCAATTATATTTTTATTAAACTTACAAAATTATAAGACAATTACGTAATCACGCGCACGTCCACCACTAATAATCTCTCCAATCATGGTTACATTAAGTTTTGGTACAAATCAAGATAATTAATAGGGAAATCATATTCGTTTGGAAAGGTAAATATAAAGCACGTAACGTAATCCACCATAGTTGAATAATTGTTGAGTTCAAAGTGGGCAAAAAAGTCGGATTGAATTTCAACAAAATAATTCCAATTTGGTCATTTCATGCATATGGAGAGCCACAAAAGTTACACTTTTTTTTTTGTTTAATAATGAAATTTGTGAATTAAAAGATTTATAAAAGGTACCTTTTAATGAAGTAATAGTTTATCATATCACTAATTAAACTTATGTCCAATATTATTTTTATTATAGCAACCAGATTCAAGAAAACCAAGGAACGATTAAATAAATGTTGTGCAAATATGTGATTTCTACAATATATATATATATATATTTCTTCTCTCAGTTTATACACTCGCCATTAGAGCATATCATTTTGTTGAATAAAATTTAAAACTTTTATCAAAGCAATGACGTCATCTGGTATTTGAAAATGTGTGACTAATTAGCATGTTTTCCGTTAATAATTTTTTAAAGTTCCCATGATTCTGGTCGTCATGGTCAACAAAACGAAATTATAAATCTCGAGTCTTTTTTTATAAAGGTTTGTATCTCGAGTCTTTTTATAAACCCCCGCATGCTTTTTGGTTTCAAAACCCACATCATTTAGAACATCAGAAACAGTGAACAACCTAAAAGATCCAAGCTTTATCCATTTAACGAACAGATTTAAGAGAGGGAGAGAGATGGGTAATAGCTTAGGGAGAAAGAAAACGACGAAAGTGATGAAGATAAACGGAGAGACGATGAAGCTGAAGACGCCGATCATGGCGGAAGAGGTCTTGAAAGGGTATCCAGGCTTCGTCTTGTTGGACTCCGAATCGGTCAAACACTACGGCGTCAGATGTTAGAATATTGTTGCACTTGCGCAAGAAGTTAAAGAATATAAAGACCATGGAGAATATAAATAAGATGTCCATAAATGAAATGAGCATCAAGAAAGATCATAATCTTACTCAAGTTCAAGCTAGCCGTTGGAGAATATATGGACAAAATCAATCAAGGAGTCAATATGCTATATTACATATTTGTTACCATAATTGTATCTAGCCGTTTTACACTTATTACCTTTCTATAATATTTTGATTCTATTTTGTATATATATGTATTCTAAAGTCAACACTTAAGAATAAGACATGCAGGAGACATTTCTCCGATACACATCTTCAATACATTTTCATATGCATACTTAATATCTTCATTTCATCATTCTCTTTCACATATACAAAAAACTCATTCATTCTCTTTCATTTATAATTCAAATTTATATAAAAGTCTTCATGGTATCAGAGCGTAAAGGTCCATGAACCCCTCTGTTCCAAATTTCTTTTAATTCCGCTGCATAAAACTCTCGGTCATATACAAACCGAAGAGATTTTGAGTTTTTTTATCCTTCTCATCCGCCAAATACATCCCCAAAAGGTCACATGAAGTGTACTTGGGATGATCTTGGAGGCCTTGAAGATGAAGAAGGAAATCATTGTTCATACATCGAACATGCTAACGGTGTTATAGAGCAATTTTGGTGTACCAAGGAAGAGGTTGAAGCATGGAATAACCTCTCTATAGAAGAAGTTCAAGCCATATGTGTGGATGATGAACCATATTTGGAAGAACAAAACAAGGGGGAATGGGATGTAGAAGACATCCTAAATCAATTCCCACTGCAAATCAAAGAGGCATTGGTGCAAACGGCCAACGCAAACAACTTTGAGTTAAGTATTTCGCTTCTTGAAGATCTCTTTAAAACTAATGAATTTGCTATATTGATTAGAAGGGGTCAAGAAGAAAGCCAAAAAGAGTCTCCCACAAATAAGAAAGAGGACGAAAATAAAGTGGAAGAACTAATATTTCATGAAGATGTTGGTGGCCATGTAGAGGAGATTGAATCGATCATAATGGAGGACAAAAACAAAGGGAGTGAAGAATCTACCATTGAAGAGGATGACCTCATAATGGAACAAAAAATTTCCAAAAAGAAGGCATTAACCATGGAGATTATAACACATCCCCATCCAACTCCTCCAATCAAATCGAATAACACATACTCATGGTTTTACAACTGGGTTTGCAGTCTCTTTCTTTCACCAGTCCGTTTAAATATGTGTTTTCCAAATGATATGCTTGGTTTTGTTAGTTTGTTTAGACAGGAAAAACAAAAAATGATCCCGAAGATTTATGGTGAAGAGAAGCTCACGAGTGAGGGGGAATGGTATGATGCACTCGTATGTTTCTCTACCAAAAAGGATATATCCGAACATAACCTTCCGGTATTACCTATGAGTTTAAACAACTCTAGGCTTGGTAAATCTATTTTTAATATGCTTGTCTTTGATCCTGGTAAAAATGAATGTGTGTTGCATGATGAAAATAAACCTATAAGCACGTTTAGAGTGCATCCTAACATGTTTAGAGTGCGTCGATACATGTTTAGAGTGCAACAAAAGATGTTTAGAGTTCGTCAAAACACGTTTATAGTGCGTCGAAACATAATTAGAGTGCATCAAAACAAGTTTAGAGTGCGTCGAAATATACTTAGAGTGCATGTTTAGAGTGCGTCGAAACATGTTTAGAGTGCGTCAAATACGTTTAGAGTGCGTCCAAACATTTTTAGAGTGCATCCAAACATGTTTAGGGTGTATCGAAATATTTTTAGAGTACGTCAAAACATGATTTAGAGTGCGTCGAAACATGTTTAGAGTGCAACAAAAGATGTTTAGAGTTCATCGAAACATATTTGGAGCGCATCCAAACATGTTTAAAGTGCGTCGAAACATACTAAGAGTGCATCCAAACAAAGGGAGTGAAGAATCTACCATTGAAGAGGATGACCTCATAATGGAACAAAAAATTTCCAAAGAGAAGGCATTAACCATGGAGATTATAACACATCCCCATCCAACTCCTCCAATCAAATCGAATAACACATACTCATGGTTTTACAACTGGGTTTGCAGTCTCTTTCTTTCACCAGTCCATTTAAATATGTGTTTTCCAAATGATATGCTTGGTTTTGTTAGTTTGTTTAGACAGGAAAAACAAAAAATGATCCCGAAGATACGGCAAACCCGGTAACAAACGACGTCGTTTCACCCCGGCTCTAACTAACGGCTACGGTGAAGAAAGACATATCCGACGGCTACGATTAGCTGAAAGTACAAAGGATCTAACGGATGACAATGAATACCTGCGGTAGCCGGTGTTTTTATTTATCGGCAAGCCAACCAAAAGAAAACCTGTGGAAGCCGGCGAACATTTTGTGTGAATTGCAAGAAGATCCAAAAGTTACTAAAATCAATCAAATGACACCTCGATTTTAGTTTGTCATTATTTGTACCCCAATTATATCTAAATTTGGAGTTTAGCAATACAAGCGTAAACCGCGGCATAGTATAAACCTGGGATTAGGTTTTGACTTCTCTGCAGCTGTACATGATTTTAGGTGCTGGATTAGATTGAATATCTCCACCAATCAAAACTAATTAATAATCAAAATGCTAATATTGATTAAGTGGAATGAGCGTGTTTATTAATTGCGTGAAGGAAAGAGCAAGCGTAGATCCTTGTATGATTATGGCTAGAAAATATCCAACTTTTGATTAGAGAGGCGCCGGTGGAGCCCCCAAAGTCAACATTTTTCTAGATTTCGCTGGCCTTTTAATTCGGTTTCATCGCTGCTTTGGCCGTCCCTCTTTTGTCAAACGGCAGGATTCGGCAGTGAAAAGTGTAGAAAAATAAAATGCGGAAATAAAATAAGACAAATAGAAAGAAACGAAATTACTTTTATTGCTACATCTCTTCTTCTTCTGGTTACATTATAATGAAAATGAACTACATATTTATAGGAAAATTAAGAAATAGAGTAAAAAGGAAATATAGACACAATGGAAACAAATCAGATACACAATATTTGGTATAATGATATTGTATCCATTATTATTCTCCATCATATCTCTAATCTTATTTTACTCCAATCATATATTCATTTTCCCACTTTAACATTCCCCCTCAAGATTGACTTTGAAAGAATGAAAAAAGTCAATCTTGAATCGATAATGCTATAAACCGCTCAGACATTTTCATTGTCTCAGAAAAAATTCATAAACCAAAATTTGTTCTTTTAGAGAGCATTAATCATTTTCAAATCACTTCGCTTGACTTTAAAGTTCTAGCTTTAACTCTTTTTGTCATAGCATCTTGCTTGATCTTAGAGTTTTTAGCTTTGACTTTTGTTTGTCATAGCACATCGTTTGAATTTGAATTTTTACTCTCCTTCAAACGATTTGGATATATGAACATCCAAAACGCTAAAGAAAGAAGAGATTAGAAAAAAAAAAACATATAGTCCAGATCGCAACGCTGCTCTGATACCATGTAGAAAAATAAAATGCGGAAATAAAATTAGACAAATAGAAAGAAACGAAATTACTTTTATTGCTACATCTCTTCTTCTTCTGGTTACATTATAATGAAAATGAACTACATATTTATAGGAAAATTAAGAAATAGAGTAAAAAGGAAATATAGACACAATGGAAACAAATCAGATACACAATATTTGGTATAATGATATTGTATCCATTATTATTCTCCATCATATCTCTAATCTTATTTTACTCCAATCATATATTCATTTTCCCACTTTAACATCAGAGCCAAGCCCCTCCAGGTCCCCTTTTTCTTTTTTTACAAAAGCTTCATTTTTCTTATATGTTCCATCTTCATAACTAACTGAAAGAGTACGATGGTTTATGTTTTGAGGTGGTAGGCGGGGCAGAGGCTGGAGGCGAAGAGGCTGTATTTCCTGGTGGAGCCACCGAGAGAGAGCGTTCCACCGAGAAGGGTAAGATCGGGAATTCAGATGAGCGCCAAGGAGAGGCTCGACAGCCTCATGCTTGCCAGGAGATCCGCCTCCGATCTCTCCATCCTCAATCCCTCCGGCGGATGGACGGCGGAGGATGCCGACGGCGGAGCTCTGAGGGTGAAGGTCAGGGTTCCCAAGGCGGAGATGCAGAGGCTGGTGAGGGAGAGCGCCACCGAGGCTGAGGCCGCTGAAAAGATCGTCGGTCTGTTCGTGGCGAAGCAGAGGGACCAAGACACGGGTGACATCACGCGCCGCCGTGGCGGTGGAGATGGAAGCTCCGTCGGAGGAGGCAAAACCCGTGAGGTATATACCCATTATATATTTCTAAAACCCACATCACTGTTGTACATATTCTGTTATATATATATATATATATATGTGTGCATCAAACATTGAAATTTACCATGAAGACCAAGTGGAGTAGGTGAATTATACACTATAGTTCATGGGTTTTTTTAAAGGTGTAAGCTTTACGTACATGCATGCATATAAAACCATGATTAAAGGCTTGAAAATTTTGGTGCAGAAACGAGTGAGCTTCATGGCACCGAAGGAGACAGGGAGCGAGATCACCGTGGCTTAATGATTAATCCTTTTTTGCTCATGTTAGGGTTTAAAATCAGCAACATCTCTCCTCTTTTGTTTGCAATTCGCAATAGTTTTATGTATCTTCCTCTCTATGTGTGTATATATATAAAGAAAATGGCATTCGAGAGGTAGTCGGCTTGATGTATATCCACCACGAGCCTTGATTTCTAATATATTAGCATACGAGTTTATACTTGAAAATTGGATATGGTTTATTATGATTAGATTCTCAATTCCCTCACTCGGTGCCGCGAAGTATGAAACAGTTGATGAAAATTTCGAAACGAGAAAAAAAAAATGCACATTTCAATGAGCCCCCCATATGGCGCGTGACGACAACGTGCATCTAGTGCGCGTGGGATCAAATATTTCAATCACTAGGCCCATAACTATATACCGCACCACATGCCATGGGCTGAATTACGATACAATTGCTTGCGTTTGACAGCTCGTAATGGGTGCCCATTTAGAAGGCCCATTTTGTTTATTATTTTATTTCTTTCCGTTCGATACCGATCTACTCCACAGACAAACCATGGCGCAAACTTGCTGTCTCTGGACGCCGATATCGATCTCAGCTTCTCCGGCGAGCGGATATCCCGGCAAAGATTTTTCCAGGCCGGCAACGTTATCTACGGTTGTATCTACACATCAGGTTTGTACAATCTCCCTGAAAGTCATAGATAAGCATCGCATATGATTTATGAAATTCGGTTTTCGCTGTGCGTTTACGCGCGTTAATCTGCAATCGATAAGGTTTTGGTTTAGATAATTAGGGGGTTATTAGACAAGGCACCATGATGAATTGATAGAAATTCAGCTGTTGTGAACTCAAAGAGTAGTGATCGAGCTTACTTGGTTTTGTTCTCAATTTGAGAAATCCCTAATTTCATGTCGTCAGAACTATTAGGCATTCTGGATTCTAGCGAAATGATGCCCTTTTTTAGGGTTTAGGGGATTTAGGGATCAGTTCTTTATTCGAGCCAAATAGCTATGGTGTGATAATTAGCCAGATAAGATCGGTACAGCTCTTCGTTCTCTCCAAATTCTGTGTACGATTCGATGGGCTCTTAGGTATTTTTGTCAGCAAACAAGGTTTGCTACGAGTCTGCAAGCATCTGAAGATCTGATAGGCTCTTTGTCTTTCTTTCTTTCTTTTTTTTTTTTTTGCAAGAATTGGCTTAAAGATAAACAGGGTCAGGAAAGCCAGAAGCTTCAAGTGCATGATTCTGAACGTATTTCAAGAAGAAAAACAATGGTGAATCTGACTGCGGGAGTTGTAGTTCTTATCTCCGGTGAAGCGGCTGAAGCTCGTGTCGGGAGACAAGAGAACCGGAGAAAAGCTCTGGAGAAGCTGAGGGAAAGAACCGAAGCTTCCGGCCCCAGTTCAGGTAACCCAAAGAAAGAACGTTCAACTCCACCAGCTCCCCAAGATCAAGCCTTTGGACCTCTAGTCGAGGCTTACCTCTATGATTATTGATCTTCACAAACTCGCAAGGATTGTCTAAAAGCTCGCATCTTTGGTACATAGGCCGAGAAATTCTTCTGCATTAGAACTTGGAACTGGACAGAAGGTTTCCTTTTACACTAATAAGAAGCAACCCATATGATGCAGTGACTTTTTCCCTCTATGGCTGATCTCCGCAACCCCGTAAGGGTTGTCTAAAAGCTCGTATCTTTTGGTACATAGACTGAAATTCTTCTGCACTAGACCTTGAAACTTGACAGAGGGTTTTTCCTTCTAAACTAATCACCAATCAAAATCAAATCACTAGTGGTTGAAACTTGTGTGTGAAGTAGAATAATTAACAGAGAACTCATAACCTAAAAAAAATAACAAAAGGGGGGAGGGGGCTAAAGGGTCTTTTTGTCCAAATTGGTGATGAGGCGCTTCATCTGAAACCTCCAGAAACAGAAGTAAGCCAGACCAAGTCCAAGCAACACGTACAGCCAAACATGCTCTTCCCCTCTCTCCTTCTCCGACCAAACCTCCTCTATCCGCACGGACCCATCCTCGTAATTCCCCGTTTTACCCTCGTTCACCCTCCCATATAACACATATACCCTTCCCTCCGCCGCCGTCACCACCGACGTCGCCATCCCTTCTCCGTCTAGTGCACTCTCGTCGTACACCGCCCCTTCGCTCCAACTGTCCTGGCTCTTCACATACCACAGCTTCTTCTTCGACACCACCACCACCACGCCGTCGCTTCGCCGCAGCGCGATTCCGTCCGCCGCCGTCAGATCTACGTTCAGAATCACCACCCTCGCCGTCCCGTCGTCTTCGTTCACCTTGAACATCTTCCCTGTGTTGCTCTGAACCACAAGGAGATACCCTTTGCTCACGTAAACAATTCCGTTTAGGCCGCGATCGGTGACCACTGCGTCGCGATCGGGGGCTGGCGGTTGCGATGTGAATAAAGCAGATTTGGAGAAGATCGAGGCTACGCCATCTCGATCGACCTTCCAGATGAAGTTTTTGGCCGAATTGGTGACGTAGGCGTTGCCTCTGAAGTCCACCGTCACGTCGCTGGCGACATCGCGGCCGCTGCCTCCGTCATCGCCGGGGAGAGAAGGGAGGATAGAGAGGAAGATGCGACGACCGCTGTCGCCGCGGGCACGGAGATCGTAGGCGGCGAGGGCGTTGAAGGGAGGGAGAGGCGGTGCGGAGTGGACAACGGCAAGTAGACGGCCGTGAGCGGAATCGACGGCAAGGCCGAGGATGGTGGCGTTCTCCGGTATATCGGGATCGGATATTAGGGTTTGAACGACGCCGGCATCGGAGACGGAGTGGATAGTGCGGCGGCGGAGTGAACCGACTACGAAGTGCTCGCCGGACGGATCCCATGCCATGCCCTCCGGGTAGAGACCTGGCAGCCGGAAATTGATGACATGGCGCTTCGTAGCGGAGGATGGTATGGTATTAACGCTCAGGAGAAGGACGAAAAATCCCGAAACCGAACCATACCGAACCGAACCGAATAACGTTTGGTTCTAATTTGGTACACTTTTTATAGAACCGAATGAACCGTTTCCGAACCGAACCGTATGAATACCGAACCAAAATTCGAATATTCCACTAATATATGTGTAAATATTATAGTTCGGTACTTATTTGGTATTCATATAATGGTACCGTTCCGAACCGAACCGATACTAAAACCGAACCGAACCGAACCGTTTAACATTCGGTTCTAGTTTGGTACACTTTTTATAAAACCGAAAATACCGTTCCCGAACCGAACCGCTTGAATACCGAACCGAAACCCGAAACGCCCACCCCTACACTAAAGAATACCGCATGCCTGCGATTTGTCAAAAACTTAGATATGAATTTTGATGCGTATGAGTAAATATAGACAGGTTTCTATGAGCCAACAAATATGATTAATGATGATATCAACGAAAACTGTGAAAACATAAAAGCGCACTAAATAATAATATAAAGGCCACATGGTTCAGCATTGAATAGTTCTCCTTCTCTGGCTATTGTCAACCATTGATCATGATGATGAATGTCTTACCAAATCATCTTTACGTAATTCAGCATTACATGATGATGACTCCGATCCAAAGTTCACTGGCAGCTCAAGAACCCAATAAACAGGAAAATGAAAATGATCAACTGACGAGAAGATCGCAGTCTTTGGCGGCGACAGCAGCGCCGACACATCTGGAATCACAGATGCTATCGCTTCTGAGGAGACAGGCCGCGCGCTTTGCATGATTTGCTTTCGGAGTCTTTGAAGGCATCGGAGACGGAGTGGATAGTGCGGCGGCGGAGTGAACCGACTACGAAGTGCTCGCCGGACGGATCCCATGCCATGCCCTCCGGGTAGAGACCTGGCAGCCGGAAATTGATGACATGGCGCTTCGTAGCGGAGGATGGTATCTCAGGAGAAGGACAAAAAAGACGATGGAGAGGATGGCGGCTGATCTGGATTCAGAAGAAGCCATGATCGATCTGTTGGTGGAATCAGAGAGGAGAAAGACGGGTTGAACTTTAAGCCTTGATTCCAAGTTGGCTTTATGTTATTTACGATGTGATTTAAATTTATATTATTTTTTGGTTCGGGTTGCTTATTATGGGCTTACACATAAATGTGTTGGGCCATTCATAATTAAATTATTGTTTGGGCCGGATTGACTGTTATGGGCTTACATAGAAATGTGATAATTGGGCCATTGATAATTAAATTATTTTTTGTGTCCGGTTGCTTATTATGGGCTTACACTTAAATGTGATAATTGGTCCATTGATAATTAAACTATTTTTGGGCTGGGTTGCTTATTATGGGCTTACACAGAACTATGATAAATTAGGCCGTTGACTGTATAGGCTTAATGCCAATTATGGATCAAGGCCAGGAATAAATGGAAGTCCAAATTCAAGTGGAATGAAACGAATTAGCAATTAATTGGGCTCAATGTATTATCCTAATTGCCAATTGTGGCCCAAATACCGAAAATGGGCTCATCACAAATGTAAACAATTTTATCGGGTAGCCTTTATCCAATTCATTGAAAAGATGCTCAACAATCAACATTAATAATTTATTTGGGTATTAGTTTTGAACGTAAGCATTTTTTGTTTCAACAAACTTAAAAAGCTGATGTAAAGCTTTTTTTTAAAATTATATAATTTATTTGCTTCAGCTTCAAAATTAATTTCTACACGCATATAACGATCTACAACTTCTCTGTGCCTTTATTTTACACGACATGGAAATTCGACACTTAATTTAAATTTAAATTTAATTCTCTTTTTTTAAGGTTGTCAGAAAATATGTTACTAACTCTTAGTTGATAGAGGATACTAAGCAGACATCACATACAAACCCTACACTTAACATCGTCGCATGTACAGAAAGGCGAATTATACTCTCTTCTTGTCTACGTCACATGGTATATTTTTTCGCACGTATGGACTAATATAAATGTGTAATAATTGAAATCGATTCTTATATATCTTTTTATTTAATTTGGAGCGTTGCACGTAAATGAACGAACGACCCTACAGCAGGACCAGTGTTCGTGGTTTGGCCTACATGGATTATCACCTTTCTCCCTCCCTCACTCTCTTTCCTAATTTTTCGCGTTACGTGGTCCTCTTTTTCCATTTGTTCGCATGTAATTTATTTGTTCCAACCGAATTAGCCATGCATTTATCTTGCTTTGGTCCAAATTCATCTGCTTTTCATCTTCAGCCATTTATTTTATGAAAGCTATTAAAAAAAAACTCCCAAAATACAGATAACAACAGTCATCTCTATCTTATCCATTCGTTTTTTTAATGTGTATATATATATATATATGTATATATAGTTTTTATTTGTTGTGTTATCTCTAAGAAATCCTTCATAATCTTAAATAATTGAATAATTTGTTTGTTGGAAGTTGGCGTATCTTTTTTTTTTTTTAATTACATATATCAACTGTTGTAGAAGAGATTCTTCATAACCGTTACAACGATGCATATCTCTTTAAAGTAAATGCAATTATATATATATACGTGTTTTATGCTTATAGAATTTCTAAAGGCGATATTCATTACTTTGGTGGTTAGAGAAAATTTGTTATGCAATCGCCGTTGTGACGGGTAACGTAGATTCGTTTTGTAATTTGAAATAAGAAGCATCATGGACATCCACGTGGGTCAAGGTCCACCAATAAACAGACAACACGTGTATAAAACAGACCAGAGACCTCCAAACTGTCCATGCAAAGGAAGGCCCTTCTACACAACACCACTCGCCTCTTGTGTCGGGACGGTTAATATTGTCGCCGCTCCTTTGGACGTTCGTCCGTCCATTTAAATAAAATCCCATAATGACAATTAAGATATTCACCGTATTGGGATAGATTTCACGTATTATTGAGTAGATATATATATAATTCAGTCCATTTGAATGTATATGAAATTTTCGTATTTTAATGTTTTCATAATAAATAAATGTCGAATATCCAAATCATGTTTTCGGTTGTTAATAATAAAATACAAGATGGCTTTTAGTGCTTACACTTGCGCGAAAAAGAAAGAGAGGAAAAAACTAAATAGATACTTCCATAATTATTGCCATAATGGATGGATGGATCCAAAAAACGTTAGTTCCATAGGAAAAAATACATAATAATATCTTCCATATAGTTTTATCCCTTTTGTATTTGGAATCTAGCATTTGTTAGAATAAACAAATAATCGAGATTTTTTTAATCTATTTTTATATTATATAAATTAGGAAGATAAGTAATATATATATATATAAAATGAAACCTGACAGTAGCATATAACAAAAGTGTTGGTCCAAAAACAACGAGTGTATAGGTGTAAAGAACATAAATGGCTGAACGTATGCTGCACATGCATGAATGACCAGATAACTAAGCGTTGACGTTTTCCTTCATTTTTAATTTATTATTTTTTCTAATGTTTGTTATAAATTAGACAAACTTAATATTAATATCTAAATGAACCGTATATGGATGATATAATTAACAATGTTTCTAGTCTTAATTTGCACGTCGTATATATTTACATTTACAAACAATTTCGTTTTTTTTTCTAAACAAATATAATATATATATATATATATATATTGTTTCCTTTTTGTTAAATTTTCTCGTATATAAAAAGTGCCCTTTAGATATTATAAAACCACATGGTTCGAAGCCGATACGAAATCAAATATCTAACTTCGTAGCGTTTGGACTCATCCGAGATCGTGTCGTGATTTTACCGATACATCTAAAAGAGCGTGGGAACACGATGAACGAACTCAAGATTTGACCGTTGATTACTTCCACGTAAAATTAAAATTTTCGAATATATAAATAATATAATTAATAACAATAAGCAGATGAGCATGATGAAATGAAATGCGCATAAAAATGTAAAACTGTGGTCCAACGGAGTTTAAGAGAGTTTCGAAACTCCAAGAAACACATGGAACGATGAGCAAACCATTTGTTTCTTTATTTTTAATATATTTTTTTATTACCCTATTGTTTTCGTTAAATTTATCTCATATTTTTATTTACCTTACATCACACGGACGTCTTAAAGTGAGTGAAAAACACTTATTTACGGGTAACTGAAAAAAAGCACTATTATTTGTAACATATTAAGATTTTTCAACAATTTGTGATTATCCATTTTTCAATATAAATATTCAAAATTTCAAATAGCTCAAAAATCTCGTATAAGATTAACAGCAATAAAAATTGCACTGTTTAAATTTGGTGCTAAAATATCAGAAATTAATATATAACCAATCAGTGTTTTGTAACTTTCAAAAATTTTATGACACAAACTTCGTAATTACTGTGCTATTAGTTTAAGAGAGAAATAGTGTGACTAAATTAATTGCGCAAAACCTAACTTTTTTTTATATCTAAATCTTTTTTTTTTATAACTAAGAAGTTCACCGAACATTCGATCTGATTACATCTCCCACGGTCCAGAGATAGTTTATGTACCACAATTAAATTGTGCATCTCCTCAATTCTCGTGACTCGAACGTGAGACCTGAAAGAGGGGTATCCACTCCCTCTCAACCACTTATACTAGACCTGAAAGAGCGGTATCCACTCCCTCTCAACCACTTATACTACTCGGCTACGACCTCTTTGGTTATATCTGAATCTTGTATTGTATGTATATATTCTTAATTATTAATATTTAGAGGTGGAAATCCATCTACCAATATTAAAAGAAATAAATTCAATAATAAAAGTTGTGTGTGTGTGTGTATAAGTATATCTAATTACCGCAATGGGAAAAAGTTTAGGTTGGAGATGGGGAAACATATTTTCGAAAGTAAAACAAACCAAAATAAAAATAAAATTACACGAAAACATGTTTAGGTGATTTCCCGCATGGGGGAGATGATATTTCTAAAAGTGGGAAGAAGAAAGAAGAATAAAAGGGTTAAGCCATTTGCATTAATTCGGTGGTAAAAGCAAAGGCAGGGCGACGGTCCCAAATCCCATCGCTTTCTGTTCGGGGGAAGGGTCTCTCACATTTTGCATTCATGAATCTCCCTCTTCTTATACTTTTCATATGTCCTATATATATATATTCATTTTGCATTCTTTTTTTTTTTTTTTATGGAAAAGTCAATTTTTTAAAAAAAAATTTGTCCATCGGTTGTTGTTTAATTAGATTTGTATTGGTTCATGTTTAATTTAATCACGGGTCTTCGGAACTTTTTAGTTATTCACAGTTTCTTAATCTTCCTTCTGTTTAAAGACGATTGCGGTTATAAAAGGAGAATCACACTTGAATTTCTGAATAGTACTTGTAGATAATATATAGATGATTTTTTAAAAAACAATTCTGATTTCACCATTAATTAAAAACACTCGATTTCAACATGGTATTCATGAAAACGTGATTTTTTTTTATATAATGATATTGAGTAGAAATATGAAATAAAGTACATATAATATTATTTTTTGTAAATCAGGAAAAAATCTAAAACCATCTTCATTAAGAAATGGAGGGATTAAATAAAAATCTATACATTGATAAGATATTATACCAAAGTGACTAAACCACCAAGTGCCGCCCTCCGTGGTGATTGGCATATGTATATGTATAGAACTCTAGAAGACGAATGACAAATTAGTTTCACATTATACGACGCATTAAGAAATGTCAAAACAATTGCATTACAAAATTAATAAATACACACACAAACACATGCTTGATCAGAATCTATAATGAAATAAAAGACCAAACGCCTTTTTTTTCTTTTTTTTTTCTGGCGCCTAATGAGGGCAAGATCCTTACATCATGGGCTCTTCGTCACTAAATCCTAGGTATTTTTGTTGTGTTCCAAAAACCTTGGAACGAACAAACCCATATCTTCTTCTACACTTTCCATTCAAAGTTTTTTCCTCCATTTTTTTTTTCGGGACCGAGAAAAACCCATTATCCAAGGCGTTTGGCTTCGCGTAATTCCATGGCCAAACGATTCACAAACCAATAAGGATATAGTAGACGAGAGTGATGGGTAAGGCTATAAGCATCCCAAATATGACCCTGCATTTTCACAATACCAACACCAACTTTTCAGGAATAATTTTACATGTATATCATCATATATTAATTATGTTAATAAAGGCTCATGCCGTCTAATCTAATGGTAACACTAGTCCTCAAACTAAAATAAGTCCACTATATTTGGAAATATTACGTATTTTGAATAACCACTATATAAGTCAAGTACTTCTGTATAATTTTTGGTATGAAATTGTTAATATTCATCAAACTTACGCAGTGCTGAGGATTGTGGGGTGCACATTATACTCTTTGGCGAAGACAAACGGAACTATTCCTTGCGGCAATGCGGCCTACAATCCACAAACACCAGCCCAGGAAGCCGACAGAATGTATAAATTCATATGTATATAGGGACAAGAACGTATGGAAATGGAAGACTATAATGCTAGAAGAGAAAAAATGGGTACCTGAACAATGGCTACCCTTAAGAGGTCGCCGCGCAAGCCTATAATGATAGAAGCAGCAGCCATCACCGCTGGGCCTGTGAGGAACCTTACGGCCATTGCGAATGTGGCTACAGAGTTTCCACAAGCGATCATCTTTGGTTGGAGAGCCATGAACAATCCTTGGAAAAAAACTCCATAGTTAGGTCAACAACTTTATTGCCAAATCCGATCTTTTTTAAATATTAACTAAAATTATTGTAGCAAAATCGAACAAAAATGTCTACACGGCCGCTGAGTCGTTGGTGGGGACCGGCCCCACCTGTCGGGTGAGAGGGTCCCCCGGCTTATCTTCGGAAAAGGCCTTCAAAGGGAAAAGATTTCACAGGATTCGTGGGGGGAGTGCGTTCAACAGTCATGTGGACTTTACTACCTATACAAAGCTGTACCATTTTCTAGCCATGGAATGGAACCCCCCACCCCTTTTGCATTTAATTAAAAAAAAAAATCAAACAAGTCTCTACGTGTAATGTGTTTTATGAATCATATGCTTTCAACGTGTAATATAGAGTTTCGGTTCTCTTTATACCTAAACTGAACATAGCCATTCCAAGGCCAGCATCTGAGAGTATGGAGATGGATTTCTCTATTATTTTCGGCATAGCCACGTGCCACCTGCACCCAAACCCATCACCATTCCAATTATTATTCCAACCCATATATATAATTTCAAATTTATATGTTTTTTTTATATTTATCCCAAACCGGTAGGTTTTATATCGAATGATTGGACTTACCGGTAAGCAACCAGAGCCCAGATGAGGCCGATCAGACTGGAGTAGGTGTTTGGGTTTCTAATGAGCTTCCTCCACACCATTATCAGTATCAAACGTGTCATCACGCTTGCCGGCGGCATATGTTTTCCGGCGCCGGCATCCACGCCTCCGGACTCCTTCGGGTGTAGCTCCACCGTCGAACTCGAACCCACTTTGTTCAGCACTCCCGTCTTCTCTTTCTCTTCCTCGCCCTCTCCTCTCCCGCCGAAGCTAAACTCGTCGCCGCCGGCTGTGAACTCAACGGTAAACAGGGAAAGAAGAATTAATGATCAAATGTGAACAGAAATATTGATTAAATTTTCATGAGGACTACTGATTAAATTAATCTATATCAAACCTTTGGTTTCCCCCTTTTGGGGTTGATCCGAAACCAACATCCGGATCTCTTTGGCACCCTGATCGGACCGTTCGGATAGCTCCACTGTGGGGAATTCGGCGCCGCTACCGCCTCCACCACCACCAAAGACGTCAGAGACCGGCGAAGCGCTTGAGCTCCACACGAACATGTGAAGCTCCTTCGCATCGTGACTCGCTTTGTTACCATTGTTGCTGTTCTGGTTATTATCCTGCTGTTGGGTCTCTGTAGGGTTTTTGTTCGATTTGTTCGGACCTGCCGCGCCGGAAGAGAACTCCGGATTCGGAGCCGGGTACGACCCGGGAACAGAACTGTTCGGATTCAACCCGAACCGCGGGGAAGGGATGACTGCGTTGTTCTCTTCGAAATTCGAGGGCCGTGGAGTCGGGCCGCGTGAGGATTGAACCGAGTACATATCCGCTGGGCCAAAATTTGAGAGCCTTCCGCCGGGAAACCCCATCACGGCGTAGAAATCGGAGTGGTTGAAATTGGATCCTCTCGGAGTTGAGCTGAGGCTGTAGATCTCAGCCCCGGTCAGATTCGACGGCCGCGGCGTCATCAGTGACCGACGCGAAGCATTGGATTTTCTCACTGTGACGTGAAGCTTCCCGTCTTGGCCGATCTCTGCGTCCGTCTCCAGGAAATCGTGGCCGTCCAGGGAAACGACGTCGGAATCGACCTTGAAGGAGACGATCGACGCCGCCGTCTCCGGGAACTGCTCCATGATCAGAATCTTGGCGCCACGATACTCAAACAGGAAAAGTAGAAGAGTATACCATATGATACACTGAAGAACCACCACCTGAACCATGAGCGAGCCGGAGTAGGGTCCGTACATGGCGATCAACAAGGGGATCCCCATGACCAGAGTGTTCGGTAGTGTACTGAGAGAGAATATCGTGATCATCCACTCCAAGCTACCGTTCTTCGTAAGACTGGCCCATAGGCCGAGCACAACGAGCATGATGATCTTCTGAAGCGTGTCGGCGGCGATGAAGCGGAGATTCATGGCGTAGGGGTTGTTGGTGGAGATGAAGTGGAAGGAGAGGAGAGGAACGGCGAAGATTGCGACGAATCGGTTGATGCCGGAGCATTGATCCGGCGAGAAGATCTTCCACCACCGGACGGAGCCGTACGCCAGAATCATCGCCACGTACAACGGCACCATCGCCGTGAGAACGGTGTAGAGATCGTGCCATGAAATCATTTTTCTTTCAGCGGAAAAAAGCTTGAGGGAAGAAACAGGTGGAAGTGGGAGAGCGTTGGTTCGACTTAGGGAGAGGAAGGTGAAAGTGGCATGGGAGGGAAAATTAGGAGGAGGGGGGAGGGCAAAATGGGAATATGATGTAAACCGTTATACTCGAATGTACTGATTTCAGAATGGTGCGTAACTTGGGAGGTCCTTATATATAGACGGGCGGAGAGTGACTGTTATCATCGTCCTTTGCACACTACACGTAGTTGTGATAAAATGAAAATGAAAATATATTTAAACGGTTATTGATCAGAGTTGTATTTTTTTAAGTAATCTAGACTTGATAATTTGAATAACTTATCCATATTTTTTCATTAAGAAAAATAATTAATCGATTTTTTTATTAATGTTGGAGATGGGGGACACGTGGCGGTTAGCATGTGGGCGAGGGCAACGTGGACAATTTTTAGATTTGTTCTCAAAATATGCCTTATAAATCGTGCAATCAGTCGCATTTCTATGTTCATTTGATTGCGAGCCCTCACAAAAAGCGGGGAGCTTTTGAAACGACGCATATATATATAATATGTATAATTGCAAAAAAACCCAGCTAATACTCCGTATAAATAACCATATATATACACACCCTCAACTTGCAACTTGAATTTCGATACGAAAGTTAAAATTGTATTTGATCCCGAATTTACATGGATTACACGCATACCTGAAACATGTGTATGCATGTATAAATACAAATATACTCATATTATATATACAATATATACGTAGACATACATTATAGGAGGTTAAAAATAAAATTGGGGAATATGTTATATAGTTGATAGAAAAATTATAAGTTGTAAGTAATATTGTTAGGTCGAAGCACTGCTGAATCTCTTTGACCTTTTAAACTCAGAGAAGAAGGAAAAAAAAAACACATTCTCTTTTTTTTTTTTGGATCGATGACTTGTAACTAACTTATATGTCCTTCTCATCCTCTCTTTTTTTTCCTTCTTTCATAAAAAAAAAGGATATAAATTTCTTCTAATATTGCAATAATTATCGTTTTTAGGAATTTTGTGATTATACACGGCCACGGCGAGGAATATTTTTTGTTAAAAATATCTTCTATATAGAAACTCAACAGCATTTTTCCATTTATTTATATATTTACGTGCGGGACACAAATTATTATATATGGAGGTCAATTGAAAGTTGAAATAAGATTAAGACGCTAATTAATTAGGGTATGTATAGGCTAATTATTACGATAGTCGCAATCATCACATGACACGAGAGTATCTGTCATGCGAATGCTTCCAATGTCCCCATGGCTGCTTTCTTCCTTTCATACGGATTTATTTACGGTGGATGCCATTACCATGAATATATTCATATTTGAATTTTGAACGCCCAAATACGCTAAAAAAACAAAAAATCGTATATGTAATTAAGCAACAATTCTTCTATCTAATGGCCAATCGTACATGCGTAGAAATACTACATGGCTCTTTGATAATATAGCACGACAATGCAAGTGTAAAATAATATTAAAAACAGTAATTATAAAAAAAAAATCGAATTCTAATTGTACACTCGCTCCATTTGATGAAATTTTCGTAGGTTGATCACAATATTATAACCGTAAATGGTCTAATAATGAACATAAAAAAAATATGTTATCGTTGGCAGAAATATAAAAAAATGGTTATGAAGGATACGGATGATACCAATTATTATAACGTAACACAAGATATCATGTTATGTTTTTTATTTTAAAGAAAGCAGGGATGAAATACTAATGCGTCTTCAAAGATGCGTTTATGGACCAATAAAAGGGGTCCACGTGTCGTCCAAAAAACTACCATAATTTAATCATGTGGCATGCACATGCCCATGCCATGCAATGCAATACCTTTTGTTTTGTAGGTTGCGAGGGTTGAGTCACCGTCTGCTTACAAGTTTTTGAATGCGGTCCCGACATTTTTTCGTTATATTATTTTGAATGCTGACCACATTAAAAAACCCAATTTCATCCCTAAAATTATATATTATCATATTAATATAATACTTAGAATTGGTGCGTCAATTCACCATTTGCAGAGTTTTGCTAATTTTCCGAATTAATATTAACAAATATTGAACTTTTTATAAAAACTATAAATGTATTACCGTTTTAAAAATGAAAATTTCTGATTTTAAATAATGTGACTAATTTTCTTTTACGCACTGCTGTGGTTGGAATTGCAGGAGTGTCACTTTATTTTTGTTATATATATATTTTTTTAACTTTATTGTTTATTCATTATATATACGATTTATTGTTTTCAGTTGGTCTCGCGACAACTACAACACGTTACAAGTGCAGCTTTACCAAGCATGTCGGCCCATTGGACCCATCTCTTCCACCCCTTTTAGGTATTCGGAAATCATTTTTAAATTATCATTTTCTCACGTTTGAACGCTTTTTTATTATAATTTTAATATTAGTTATAGCGGACCCTGGGATTTGAATTTAAATTTCATGATATATATAAATTATTATATTGTTAAACACTTGACTTATCATATCATATTGGATGGAAGCAGCATGAAAAAACAACGCGAGAATATGATTGTTTTACGGATTTGTTAGTAACTTAGTATTGGATTGATGTATAATGTAAAAAATATAATTTTAAAATAAATACAAAAATATGGTTTTAAATCATAAAATTGAAACAAAAAACATTAGATGGATAGATTAGTTATGTTTCATTTAATTCTTAAAAATTTATAAAGTACATAATTTGTTCGATTTTTTTTTTTACAAAATTGTGTTTATTTTGGAATTTCTTCATATTTTATGTGAATATAATAAAAATATAAAATCGTTGATTAGCTGCTATGTCGATTTGCTTTAATTGATGCATACATTTCAGCGCATTATTGACTTATCCAATGACCTTGGTGTCAACTGTCAAGGCCGTGAATATGCAAAAAAAAAGAAAGAAAAAAAAAGGAAGCAATTATGGTGTTGACTGAAATGGCCCATTATAAATAATGGACCATTCTTTTGGGCCCAATAAATCCTAATATGGGCCTTTTCGAGCCCATGAAACGAACCGCCTCCTTCAAGGGCAAGGCAATTTCTTGGTTCCAATTACAGTATACAAGAAACTCTGAATCTTAACGTTATATCCGAAATTGAGTAAAAGTAATTCCCAGTCAATCATTTCTAGTCATCAAATAAAAGTATATACAAGAATGGTATCAGATAATCGATTTATGGAACTACGAAAATTCATTTTGGATAATATAGTTGGTCAGACATTGACTTCGTTGACTTTGACTCCTTAACGCCCCTCATGAGCCTCTTCTCGAGGCGGAAGGTTTGCAACGGGAGAGGCGGTGGTGAGATGACAGCGACGACACATGGTGAGTGTGGAGGCCGATGCTGACGTGGCTGGAACTGCTACCTTCATGGCGCTAAGCTCCTCCACTTCTCTCTTTAGCCTCCGGTTTTGTTCGGTTAACGAACCGAACCGCCTCTTCAGATACTCGCATTCCATCTCGGTTTGCTTTGACTTGCATCTGCGTCAAACCCAATCCAATTGAGCAAGCATTTTTATGCAACTTTTTGAAGAAAATAAGGTTGAGGACTTGACACGTGCGAGTGCATTAAATTTGTAATGTCTACGACCAAATAATTTTTTTAAAACAATCAACCATTGGAAAAGCACGTGTCCTTCGATCATATTTGGCGGCTCGAATGCACGCTGTTGGCAGCCGTGAAAATCACAAATGCATGATGCAGATGAGGCCATGCATGCACAGCCTCAACATGAATATTTATGTGTATGTATTATGTCCTAATGGAAAGATTTATTTATTAATTAATGTTTTAGAACTTACGGTTGACCGAAATTGGAAATATTCGTGGAGGGATGAGATATATATGAATAGGACCACATTTACTTTACAAGGGGTACGACTTATGCTACGGGGTGGGTCGAATCCGATTCAGATTTCATCTGCTTTAATTGTATATATCTATATATTCCTTCAACGTTAATGAAATGTGAAATCTCGTTAATCCTCAACCACCCACTCAACACTAATCATACTTAACCCACGTTATTAAATATAAGAAGAAAATAAATATATGTGACAAAATAAAATCTTTATAAAATAAAAATGGTACCTGGCTCTTCGGTTCTGAAACCAAACCTCAATTTGTCTTGGCCTCAGCACCAACTGTTTTGCAAGCTCACCTTTTTGCTTCTGCATTATAAATTATAAAATGTAAGCCATAAAAAAATAAATATAATAATCCAAAGTATGAGAAGAAGCGATCTATTATTTTTAGTAATAGAAACGATATAAATATATATATATATAGGTCAGTTAAACTTAAACATTTTGTATTATCCATTGTTTCTATATGGATAATTAAACGGCGTGTTGATCTTTTGTAAATAAATAAAAAAACAACACGCTATTCAATCGTTCGTAATTTTCTGGAAATTGCATTTAATTAAAAGGAATCCTTTTATATATCTACAGCAAATATAGAAGAAAGTTATACTATAAGCAACTTAAATACGACTAACCATAGTTATCAGTGGCAAGAGTGAGAGTGTTTAATACGTACGAGGATCGGTTGATTAGCGGAGATTAAGAAGAGATTAAAAGACAAATAATTACGGGATTTAGGGTGTGGTTCTGTCTGAAGCTGTCCTCGAGAAGGCGAGACTGTTCTCTCGTGAGACGGAGTTTCTTGCGTGGAGGTAAGACGGCGTCGTTTCCACGGCCGATGAGTTCGTCGTCCTCTTCCGACAACGGCGGTCGGTTTATGTCGAGGCTCAACTGCTCTCTCCCTCTCCCCCCACTTCCACCA